GTTTGAGGTGAAAATTAAAAGGGTGAGGACAGACAACGGGAGAGAATATTTTAACCAAATTCTTTCACCATATTTGAATCAGGAGGGAATAGTTCATGAGTCCTCATGCATTGACACACCCCAACAAAATGGGGTGGCCGAAAGAAAGAATGGACATCTTCTTGAAACTACTCGTGCTCTTCTTTTTCAAAGACAAGTTTCAAAATATTTTTGGGGGGAAGTCGTTCTTACAGCCACTCATCTCATCAACCAATTACCTACCAAAGTCTTAGATTTTAGAAGTCCTTGGGAAACACTTTCACATCATTTTCCAGACTTCCTTACTCCAAACAGGTTGTCTCCTCGGGTATTTGGTTGTGTTATCTTTACTCATGTTCATGCTTACAATCGAAGCAACTTGATCCCCGAGCACTTAAATGTATTTTTATAGGTTACTCTTCAACTCAAAAAGGTTACAAATGTTACCATCCGCCTACTCGGAAAACCTACCTTTCAATTGATGTCACATTTGTTGAACATGAGAGTTTCTTTCATCATCCTTCTCCTTAGGGGGAGGTAACAAGTGATGAAAAGGATGATGATGCCGATGTCCTCGATTTCGATCTTGTGCCCAAATTGTCACCACCATCTTTGAGTCCAAGTTCTGCAACCACTCCTGCCTCGGTTTCCTTTGGTTCCCCTCTTACCGCGGCTTCTCCAAGTCCGGATCACATTCATTCCCAGGTTTCACTACCTACTTTCGATCCCTGTTCTGATATTCCTCCGCTTCAAAATCCAAGTGTGACATCTGTTGAATCTCAACCACAATCTCCTCCTAAAAATCCAACTCCATCAATCAATCTAGTAGTCACTAAACCACTTTAAGTTTTTTCGAGAAGGAAGGGAGGCAAGACTAATCCGAAGCAAGCCCAAAAGTCAGAACCTATGCTTGGGAAAGAAACCACTGAGGAGAAAAACACTACTCAGGTAAACAATTCCACTCTTGTGTTTGATGAGACTGATTTAGAACTACCCATTGCAGTTCGAAAAGGTACCCGAAGGTGTACACAACATCCACTCTCTCATTTTGTTTCCTTTAAAAAATTATCTCCCTCACATAGAGCCTTCCTTACTCAGCTAAACTTAATAGCCGTTCCTAAAACATTGTCTGAGGCATTAAACAGTAGGGAATGGAAGCAGGCCATGAAAGTTGAGATGGACGCACTGGAAAAGAACAAGACTTGGGAGATGGTGGAATTACCGAAGGGAAAAAAAACTGTGGGATGCAAATGGGTGTTTTCAGTAAAATTCAATGCAGATGGATCTCTTGAAAGGTACAAGGCAAGGCTAGTAGCAAAAGGATATACCCAGACCTTTGGTGTTGATTATCAAGAAACTTTTGCCCCAGTGGCAAAAATGAACACAATAAGAATTTTATTGTCTCTGGCTGCTAACTTTGATTGGACTTTGCAGCAGTTTGATGTAAAAAATGCATTTCTGCATGGAGATCTTGAAGAAGAAATATATATGGACGCTCCTCCAGGATTTAGTTTTCCGAAGAAGAATAGGGTATGCAGATTAAGGAAGGCACTGTACGGATTGAAGCAATCCCCCAGGGCTTGGTTTGGCAGGTTTGCAAGAGCAATGTTAGCAATGGGTTACAAACAAAGTCAAGGTGATCATACTTTGTTCATAAAACACTCTTCTTCAGGGGGGGGGGGGGGGGGGGAGTTACAGTCCTCATTGTATACGTAGATGATTTTATTGTCACTGGCAATGATCAAGCTGAAAGGGAAACTCTTAAAGCTAAACTGGCCACGGAATTTGAAATAAAAGACCTAGGCAAGCTGAAATACTTCCTGGGAATTGAAGTTGCTCGCTCCAAAGAAGGAATTTTCGTCTCACAACAAAAGTATGTTATTGATTTACTGAAAGAAACAGGAAAGATAGGCTGTAAGCCCGTGAAGACTCCCATTGAACCGAATCATAAGCTTGGAGAAGTTGTTGATGATGAGCCAGTTGACAAAGGAATGTATCAAAGACTTGTTGGAAGATTAATCTACTTGTCTCACACCAGGCCTGACATCGCCTATGCAGTTAGTGTAGTGAGCCAATTTATGCACAACCCAAAGGAAGTACATCTCCAAGCAGTATACAGAATCCTGCAATATCTAAAATCTAGTCCAGGTCGAGGCATATTGTTCAAGAGAGGATTGTGCTTGAACTTAGAAGTTTACACAGACTCAGACTATGCAAGTTCAGTGTCAGATAGAAGATCAACCTCGGGTTATTGTGCCTTCCTAGGTGGGAATCTTGTTACATGGAGGAGCAAAAAGCAGCCAGTAGTTGCAAGGTCAAGTGCAGAAGCTGAATTTCGTGCCATGGCTTTAGGAATATGTGAATTATTATGGTTGAAAATAGTCCTGAAGGATCTTGGAGTTTCAGTTAAGAGGCCGATGAAGTTATATTGTGATAACAAGTCAGCCATCAATATTGCACATAATCCAGTGCAACATGACCGCACTAAGCATGTGGAAGTTGATCGCCACTTCATAAAGGAAAAGCTCGATAATGGACTAATTTGCACTCCGTATGTCTCAACAAGAGGACAACTAGCTGATGTACTAACCAAAGGGTTAGCCAGTCCTGCGTTTCAAAGAATTGTCTGCAAGCTGGGGATGGAAGATATTTACTCCCCAGCTTGAGGGGGAGTGTTGGAGAATTACGTGATTTATGTAATTGTTAGATAAATTTGGAAAGTATTAACTGTCTGATTTTGTACTAATTACAGGCTAATATAGCTGGTGTATTAAAGTTTAGGTTGACTTATTTTATTTTCTGATCTTAGGGATTTGATTGTATATTCCTTAATTTACTGGATTCTGATCTGATTGTATTCAGCCTATAAAAGTCAGGCTGCTTTATATTAGAAAGTCATGAAATATACTCCAGTTTTTCCCAATTTCTGTGTTAAATGGTTATGGAGGTTTGGGGTGAAGAGGCATTGGCTTTGGAGGAGGGTCGTGGTGAGCAGATTTTGGGAGACTAGAGGAGGGTGGTGCTCTCTTGAGGTGCGTGGTCCTAGGGGTGTGGGGGTTTGGAAGTTTATTCGACAGGGCTGGGCTGATTTTTCCAATCATGTTCAATTTCGTCTCAGGGATGGTAGGCGGATTAGTTTTTGGGAGGATGTCTGGTGTGGGCACATCCCTCTTGCTTTCCCTCGTCTGTTCAGGATTGCTTCGAATAGGCAGGCCAGGGTGATCAACTGTTATCACCTTGATAATGGGAGATTGGTTTGGGATGTTTGATTCAGGCGTCTGTTTCAGGACTGGGAAGATGAAGATGCCATCTGGAGGTGTTGTATCGGCAGGGTGTTATGGTCGGAGATTCTGATGTTTGGATTTGGGCTCCCAATGTTCAGGGTCGCTTTGCAGTGCGATCTTTCTTCAGGTGTCTCTCTTAAGAGCCTGAAGGTCCTTTCCCGTGGAAGGCAGTTTGGCGTTGTAAGGCTCCTCTTAAGGTGGCCTTTTTTGCTTGGACCTCTGTTTTGGGAAAAATTTTGACTCAAGATAATTTGAGAAGAAGGAATCAGTTGGTGGTTAATCGGTGTTATATGTGCCGTCGGGATGAAGAATCAGTGGACCATCTTCTTTTGTATTGTCCTTTGGCCAAGGAATGTTGGGATTTGATGCTTGGCCTGTTTGGTTTTTTGTGGGTCATGCCTGGCTCTTCTAGAGGTTTGATTAAGGCTTGGAAAGGGTGTTCTGTGGGGGCTCACATTCGAGACGCATGGAGGGCTACGCCTCTTTGTATTTGGTGGTGCATTTGGCTTGAGAGAAACATGAGATATTTTGAGGGAAAAGAGTTACCTATTTCTGTTCTAAAATTCTCCATTGTTTCCACTCTTTTTTGTTGGGTTTTGGGTAGAGATTATAGATCTATTGAGGACATTGTAGATTTTTTGGCCTCTTTGAAGGCTTAGTGGTTCTCGCTTCTTGTTGTTCCTTTGGGATACGCTCCCCTTTTGAGCGTTTTTTATACAATTCTTACTTATCAAAAAAAAAAAAAAAAAAAAAAAAATTAGGGGTAAAATTATCTTTTCGCATGTCTTTAACGGTGTTAGTGACGGAAAAATCAAATTGGACCTAAGTGATAGCTATTTTCAAAAAATGTTTGTGTGTGATATTTGGCCAAACTTGAGGGGGTATCAGTGAAATTAACCCAAAAATAAAAAATTGGTTGAGTTAGCCATTTGGTTTTTGTGAAGCCTGCTTCTAAATATCTTTCCAGGAAACTGTAATAAATTTGCAAAATGTACCAAAAGCATATGATGATCAAATTGTTAAAACACTTACAAATGGTTCCAATCATGTTAATTTTGGTGCAGCTGCTCTCAGAAGTGGGACTTATTAGGTGATTTAATCAATCTAAAATCTTACAACTCACAGACTAAATATGTTTTTACCCTTTTCATCATCATCCTTGCCTTTATCCTATATGGATGGGGTTAGCTACATGAATTCTCTTTTTCCATTCCTTCCTAGGTCTTCTCATAGATTTAATTTTTTAAAATCGTTTTTAATTACTTCCTTCCATGTAAGCTTTGGTCGGCCTCTTTATCGCCTACCTTGTAGACAAACAACTCTCTCCCTTCTAACCGGATCATCATCGGATCTGTGATGAATGTGACCATACCACTTAAGTCTACTTTCTCTAATTTTATCATAGGCGCTATACCTAGTGTTCCCCCTCACACTCTCATTATTAATCTTATCTTTTTTATTTAGTCCTATCATCCAATGTAGCATCCTCATTTCAGCAATACGGATGCGTTATTCCTGTGTCTTCTTCAATGCACGCACTCTTGTTGTTGTTGTTGTTTTTCTTTTTCTCTCTGAGTATGGTAAGAACTTAATTATAACATGTTCTTGAATTGAAGTCTTATTAGGTGCTTGAATACTCTTCACCTTTAGCTTCTTCTTGCTTGTATATGTTTCTCATAGCAGTGATAAAAACTGCAGGTTACACATGGTTAGAGTTGTCTCCTCTCACAGGTAGAAAGCACCAGGTACAGATGACAACTTTGTGCTATCTTGACTTCTAAATGCCAATTTATTACTTTAGGTCCTGATTTGTTGTTAACTCTGCTAATTCTTTCTTCTAATATGGTGGTAAAATAGCTGCGTGTCCACTGTGCGGAGGTATTGGGGACGCCAATTGTTGGGGACTACAAGTACGGATGGCAAGCTCATAGAAAATGGAAGCATTTCCCTTACTCGAATCAGAACTTGAATGAGAAGCTTCCCAAGGGAAACACATTTCCCTTTGGCCTTGATTTGGAGAATGGAAGTATCTCCGAGAAGCAGCCTCAGCTACATCTTCATTGTAAGGAGATGGATTTACCTGACGTGTGTCTAGCTCTGCAACATACCCGATTATCTTCAGAGTGTGACCTTATGGATCTAGAAAGCCTCAAGTTGGTTGCTCCTCTGCCTTTTCACATGCAAAAAAGTTGGGACTTGTTGCATTCATGAGCTATAATTAGGTTTCTCGCAAATTCTTTTGCATGAGGTAGCCCAGCCCTTTCAATCATTAATCAATCTATTAGCTATAAAATACTGGCAAATACCGTCAGTTCTGTTTTCGTGATATATCTTTTTTTATTTGCAGTAGGTGCTGCTGTCATATCTTACTAAGGTGAGACCTTCTGGTTGGGATATAGTGGTCAATTCCAGCTCGTTATGTTTAAAACATATGGTGCTCTTTTGGAAACCGGAAGGATGGCCTCTCCACATGTGATTGGGAAGAGTTGGTTTTTTTTTTTTTTTGCCCAGGTTCTTAAGAGAGAGTCCCAAAGGTAGGCCTGAAAGGGTAAAATTTAGGGCCTCGGATGTCTGTTATAAGGGAATGGATCCACTCCGACCCCCATTCTTGTTCAAGCCGTCTCGAGGCTCAATCAAATGGGCAGATACACACAACATCAATTAGTCAATTATAACTCCAGTCCAGAACGACAGCGTCCAAGTTTCAGATCCCATTTTAACACCCTCTCTCTCTCCTCCCACCCTCTCTCCTTTACAAAACTCTCTCAACCTGTCTCTCCATTGAAGACCTCTCCAGCCTCTTCTCCATTACTTCCTAACCCTCAAATCTCGGCCCTTACCTCGATTGAAGTGTTTTTTTATGGATCTTGAATTGAATGGCTTTTATAATCTTACACTTCAAAGAATTGAGGCCTGTAAATCTAATGCAAGTTTCCAGATTATGAGTGGGAATGCTGTTGCTTCAATTAAAGATTTTAACTTATTGTTATCATGAGAGGGCGGCATGGTTTTGATCTATGTTCATTTAGCTGAGCATAAGGATGACATGATTTAATACTATAGTGTTCATTTTGTTAGATCCCAACTGGCTATTGCATCAAGGACACGCCGGCCAACACCATTTTGGATAATCCAGCACAATATAAAGCCATTCTCACTCTTCCAAGTGATATGGGAAACGATTTTTTTTTTTTTTTTTTTTTTTTTGTTTTTTGGGCATTCCATAGTTATTAAGCCGTTGCATAGCCTTTAGTCCATTGGTTCGCGAAAATTGAACTTCCGCAAGCCGGCTGCGGATGGTCTGATAGCTATTGCATCAAAAGACACGCCGACCTCTTGATAGTCCAGCACAATATAAGCCATTCACTCTTTCAGTGATCCAGGAAACGGGTTTTTTTTTTTTTTGTTTTTTGGGCATTCCATAGTTATTAAGAATGGGTAGAATGACCGAAAAAAAAAAAAAAAAAAAACCGTTTCCTGGATCACTGAAAGAGTGAATGGCTTATATTGTGCTGGACTATCAAGAGGTCGGCGTGTCTTTTGATGCAATAGCTATCAGACCATCCGCAACCGGCTTGCGGAAGTTCAATTTTCGCGAACCAATGGACTAAAGGCTGTGCAACGGCTTAATAACTATGGAATGCCCAAAAAAAAAAAAGAACCAATGGACTAAAGGCTGTGCAACGGCTTAATAACTATGGAATGCCCAAAAAAAAAAAAAAAAAAAAAAATCGTTTCCCATATCACTTGGAAGAGTGAGAATGGCTTTATATTGTGCTGGATCATCCAAAATGGTGTTGGCCGGCGTGTCCTTGATGCAATAGCCAGTTGGGATCTAACAAAATGAACACTATAGTATTAAATCATGTCATCCTTATGCTCAGCTAAATGAACATAGATCAAAACCATGCCCAAAAAACAAAAAAAAAAAAAAAAAAAAAACCGTTTCCTGGATCACTGAAAGAGTGAATGGCTTATATTGTGCTGGACTATCAAGAGGTCGGCGTGTCTTTTGATGCAATAGCTATCAGACCATCCGCAGCCGGCTTGCGGAAGTTCAATTTTCGCGAACCAATGGACTAAAGGCTGTGCAACGGCTTAGCTAAATGAATGGGGGCCCACTAGCAATCGTGGGCTGGCTCGTGGTATTCAGTGAGCCGGTCGTAGAAATTTTTTTTTTGTTTTTTCCTAATGCAAAAACGGCGTCATTTTGCACTAGGCAGTTTTAGTTTTATTTTGCAACGGCTCTGTACAGTACCAAACAGTACCTGGGCAGAATTTTTTTTTTTTTGAAAAAACCTAAAAATAGGTTATTTAGAGCTCTTTATTTTGGGAAAAAAATAAAATAAAATTCATTAACTAAAAAATATATTGTTTAGGCATTGTTTGTCCAAAAATAAATAATTTTGGGCCAAAAATAAATTAAAAACTTTTTTTTTTTTGGTTTTTGTTTTTTTCCCTTAAAATTTGGTTTTTTTTTTTTTTTTTTTTTTTTTTTTTTTAATAAATTTTTTTGCTATAAATTTTAAATATGTAGGCCAAATAGTGTATTCGCCATTAAGGCCTTAACGGCTATAATTTATAAAAAAAAGTTTAAAAATTCAAAATTTTTTAACTTTATTCAAAAAAAAAAATTTAATTAAAAGTCTTAAACTCTCTATAAATATCCCAACTCCTACCATTATTCATCACATCTAACACATCTCTATTGCTTACCATTCAACTTATTTCTTAAACTATTTTTTCAATTTTAGTTATTATTTTTAAAGTCATTTTGATTCCATGGATCCTCGACATCTATTTTATTACAACACCCAATTCAACCTATCAAATGATGAGTTCTTGCCATTTCCTGAAGGCAATATTAATTTTTATGGAGGAAATTCTCAATTTTCTTCTCATTAATCATCACAACCTTCTTATCAATCATTCCAAACTTCTCATCATGATTGTGGTACTAGTGTTCTACAATCAAGTAACTCAAAACCCCCGCTAAAACAACCGGCTATCTGACATACTAATTGGACCAAGGCTGAAGATGAGGCTTTATGTTGGGCATGGGTGTCCATTACCTTTGATGCGATTATGGGAGCAGACCAAAGTAAGAAGAAGTTATGGGAGCGAATTCTGGAACAATAAAAACAACATATTGGTGTTCCAATTGAGCGAAATAATGGCGGTTTGATAAATCGTTGGTCGGTGATTCAACAAAAAATCAACAAATTTTTCGGCTGCATGACTACCATAGAAATGAATCGTCCCAGCGGCTTCAGCAGTGATGATATGGTGAGTTATTTATTGTTTAAATATAACTCGTAAATATTTTAAATAGTCGGCTTTTAAATTTTTGTTAATTTTTTCATGTAGATGATAGCAACTAAAGACCTGTTTCGTAGCCAAACAAGTGGTGAATTTAAGTTAGAAAGTTGCTGAGAGATCTTGAAGCATAACAATAAATGGAATCCACATTGTGCCGAACAAGTAGGAAAAGGAAAAAAAAAAAAAAAAAAAGAGCCGAAGAAGAGGAGTGGATTTGACTTTGACATTAATGAGTCCACTATCTATTCCGTCAAGTCATGCAGCCATGATAGATGGAGTTTCAACTGAAGAATCACCACACATAAGGGAAAATGATTACTCGGTGTGGAAGAATATCAACTAAAAAGACCAGCAGGAAGAAAAGCGGCGAAACAGTGTTGATTAAAAATTAATTCAACGAATGAATTGCAAATTTCATTCGTTTCGAAATTTAATAATATCACCACCTGTTTTGAAAGTCGTCATGAGAAAATGCAGGATGCCCAAGTGGCACGGGAGGTAAGAAAAATGGAGAAAGAAAAGACAAGGTAGCTAGAGATTATAGAGAAACAGAGATTTGAAGATAAGCAGCTCATGTTAACAGATCCAAATTCGGCACTAACAGAAGCAGGGAAAGCTTGGATTATTGCATGACAAAATGAGATATTGGCATCTTTGAATTCACGGTCCACCCCAAAGTTCCCATAGGATTTTGTAATCCTTGGTCTATTTATTTTCTTATTCCAATTTAGGATATTGTATTATTTAAGTTATTTTTAATTATTTTGTTTAATTTGTTTTTTTTTTTTTTTTAATCCATAATGGATAATGTGTTGTTTCAAGTTCTAATATCAATCGTAATTTTTTTAATAATTTGCGACAATATTTTTGAAGTCGTTGAGAAAATATAGCCCTTGCAAATATAACCGTTAAAAATATAGCCGTTACGAATATAGCCATTTAGGAAAAGTTAAAAAATAATAATAATATTAATTAATTATTATTATTATTTTTGGAGAGCGAAAATTCGGAGAGCCTGATGGAGTGCATGTTTTTGGAGAGCGAAAATTGCTGACGTGGCTCTTTGAAGGGTTAATTTCACCTACACCCCCTGACGTTTGCCTATATTCCACTTACACCCCCTCTACGTTTCATAATTCCATCTATCTCCCTTGAGGTTTTGGTTTGTGTAGCAAATTACCCCTTGCCGTTAAGCCACTAACGGTGTGTGCTGATGTCAGCATTAGAAAATTGTTAGAAAGTCAATTTTGCCCTTCTAATGTCTAAAATGACATCTTTAACCTCGTTCACCAATACGCAATTACAAAACTACCCTTAATTTGTTAACTCAAGTGTACAAGAATACCTTTCCTTCCACTTCAACATATATATATATATATTCATTCATATATCATCTTCTTCCTTGCACACGCTGGTTTCAAGCTCTCAATTGCTGTGTTCTTAAAGTGGTTTGTCTACTGAGAGCGGCCAGAGTTTCAGTTTGCCCAAGGGTCGAGGCTTATGTAACCAGAAAGTCACGGTCGAGGGTTCTCACGTCGACGGTGGTGATCAATAGTGCAATGTTGGAGAGGTTATAAGGGCTGGGTCCGGCCCTTTCGCCGGAGCACGAGACGTTGATTTTCGTTGCCGATTACGACGCCGTCGAGCCTGTAATCCAACGTCCTGCCGCCGAGAGACATTGATTACGGCTGTTTATAAGGCTTAAATCTGGCAAGAAATGGCGAGATTAAACTGACAGGCGATAAAACTTCCAACTCTCGCCGTCGTCGTTGAAGATACCGTCGCCAGAGAAGATGGGTTTTCCAACTTTTTTTTTTCTTTCTCTCTTTCATGTTTTTTTCCTCGACCAGATAAAAATAAAAAGTTTCCTCAGTGGTTTGCTCAAGAAAATTTCAGGCGCCGCGAATCCCGATCTCGGGGAATGAAGCAGTCCGTAGTGCACCGTCGGCAACCAGCAATCTTTCAGTGATATCAAGGACTTTGGTGATGAAATCCCTTCGAAAATGACTTCAACAGTAAGAATTCAAAGATTCAATCAGTTTGTAATAGCACAGATGAACCGTTGGAAAACGCCGGGGAAGTTCCAACTCTTGCCGTCAGTGTTGAAGACGCCGTCGCCGGAGAAGATGGGTTCATCACTTGATACCCAGGTTCTGGGCTGTTTGCTAGAAAATATATCAAATATGCGAGGTTTCAGAGGGGAAAACAAATAGCTTGATTTATAGGTCCCTTCACTCATAACTGTCCTTGTAATTGAACGGCAGACAGTAAGGATTAAAGCTTGAACAGCGGTGTGTCCTTGCAATTGAACAACGGGCAGGAATGACTGAAGCTTGAACGACGGTGTGTCCTTGTAATTGAACGGCGGGCAGTAAGGAGAACGACTCGGTTGTGATAAGAACCATCTTTTTCTTTGGTTGTTGTTTGTGTATTTTATCGGTGGCATAGTTTCTTCGTGGACGGCAACAATGAAGAAGAAGAAAGAGGAAAAAAAACAGAAAAAAGAAATATATATATATATATATATATTGTGTGTGTATGTATATATGTGTGAGGGTGTTAAAAGACTTTTCCTTTAAGTTATAAATTTTAATATATAATTCAAGGGCAAAATAGTAAAATCACATATTTTTGTTGGTAAACTAGACGGTGGTTACTGACAGGGGGTGTAGGTGGAATTATGAAACGTAGAGGGGGTGTATGTAGAATATAGACAAATGTCAAGGGGTGTAGATGGAATTAACCCCTCTTGGAATTGCTGATGTGACTCTTGGAAAGCTGATGTGGCATTTTTAGAGAGTCAAAATCCGGAGAGACTGATGCAGATGGCCTCACAAGGGCCATACATGGTTATAATTAGCATATAGGATAAATAAAAATAAAAATAAAAATCTCTACATTTTATAAAGGGTGAATTGCCATTGTTTGCATCCTTTTAACTCAAAAACAGTTATACTATTAAACATACTTATTTCGCAAGGCTGACCGATAGACTTCCATGTTAAAGTGCACCTTTAGAGGCAAAGATTTAAAGCTCTCATAATAGAATATGTAGATGGTGTCAGTCGAACCAGGTCGCTCGTGTCTTATTGTGGGCATTTACTTTGGCCTCGGCCGAATGCGGATCAATTATTGGGTTACCGGGTTGGTGTTAAACCTGACCCGACATGCCCGATCTACTAGAGTCCTACCAGAAAAGAAAAACACGTCCCGGTTACCAATATTGTTGCGTCCAGCTTTCGCCATTAAAGCTGAACACACACACAGCTGGAAAATTCGACAGATCTTTGATCGAAGAAGAAGAGAAAATGCTGCCCACCGTATCGAGAGGTCGTACGCACTCTCACGTTCGACCCAGTCCCGTCTTTCCTCAGTACCTCAGAAGAATGGTCAAGGTTCCTCTCTCTCTCTCTCTCTCTCTCTCTCTCTCCACCTCTATCTATCTATTTATGTATATACAGCTCTTTTAACATATATTTGTCTGTGCGTGTATTTGCTATTCTCAAATTCTATGCACCTTACCAGATCTGATCTGCACCCTAGTCACGTTCTTTCTATATTTATTATCAGTATATACGCTTGTGTTCTTTTACGCTGCTAATGTCAATTCACATCTTATTCTATAGGAAAGAACAGGCATCTGATTTATGGATTCTATTAGGAAATATCATTCAAAATTTGACTTGTGAAAAAAGAAGAAATATAAATCGAAATTTGAATATGCAATTTACTGTTGAATCCTTAAATTTATTCTTTGGAGCGTGTTCAAGGTTTTAGGGTTTCTAGTGAACATGAACTGACAGAGGTATATACAAGACATTTGTTGTGATATGGGTTTGTTGTCGATGTGGATGATTAGTGCATTTTCATTAGCTTTGGCGAATTTCAGTCATTTTCACGGTCCATTGATTTAGCATGTAGAGGATGTGATGTGATGTTATGTATTTGAAAGTTGTCAGTGGATGAATTTTGAAACTAAGGTTTGGAGCTCAATGTTCAAGATCAATGTTTTAGCAGAACTGGGTTTGTTTCTATCGGACTTTTGGTGTTGAATGCAATGCCGTTTCAAGGTTTGCATTATTTGGTGATGATTAATAAATTTTATTTTGATTGTAAGGTATAAGAAAAAGTGTGAATAAAAGAAAAGAGCTTCAGAAACTTGATTTTGGGAGGTTTGGAATTAGTATCTGCATTTGCTTTTGATTTCTCGTTTGGTGTTGGAGTTTCTTCTAGTCTGTTTGTTTTGCATTTTTTGTTTGTTTCTCTCAACATGCAAGTTAGGGGCACTCGTGAGGAACGGTGCTAGAGTTTGATCTATTGTTGGGTTAATTCCTTAACAATTTAAATTTTAGGTTTAATTGGTCTATGGTCTACATACTTGTATCCAACTTTTATACACATTTCAAGCCAAGTTTCAGTCCATAGGGAGACACACGCCCGCACATGATATGATGTATCATAGATCACTAGGTTAGAACGGTGCCTTTTTGGTCAAGGACACGTCTCATCCATGGCACAGGTCACACTAATATGACCCTTCTGGTTTGCTAAGCCCATTGATTTAGGCATGTGGTGCTTGTAGGTCTAAGCTTTAGAGATTTTCAGCCTCATTGATCGAATTGCTCTTGCCAGTTCTTTGCCTGCACCCGCTGAATGCAGCCGTATTGCAAGCTAATGACCTCTATATACTGCCCATATTTTTTTGCCACCCTGTGTAGTTTTGATTACTTTGTTTTGGCTTTTGGCAATATGCTTTACATGTTCTAGCCTTCATACTACTTTTTCACCATGTATTATTCTTTATGAGAAAACAAATATTTAAAAACTTGCACCTCAACCAGATGACTTTAGTGACACTTAATGGAGTGCTTTACAAGAAGTAGTTTTTGGTGAACAATGATTTAGGTGACTGATGATGGTATTTAATTTTTCTCATGAGATCAAGCTCTGTGTGTGTGTGTGTGTGTGAGAGAGAGAGAGAGAGAGAGAGAGAGAGAACTTCAGATATATATATATATATATATATATATACATATTTGTGCCATCAAACAAAAGAGCTTTACAATTATAATGGGGTTAACCCTGGTTTTTTAGAAGAATAAAGATTTAGAGTGTGAGAGACTTCATCATTGCATGGAAATATCCCATGTCTTCTAAGAAGGAATGCTATTTTTCTTGCTTGTGTATATTATCTAATGAATGTCATAAGATTGCAAGCTTAAGTGAATTCACTGTTAATTATTATTGTTCTCTCATATTTCTGTTGTATTTGTTTTCTTTCATCTTTCACCTTATCTCTTTTTAAAACTGCATTTTTCTTGGCTGGTTGATTGTAGTGGCAACACATGGATATTGAATATACTTTCTGGCAAATGCTCCATCTATGCACCTCACCTAAAGTTGTGTACGTATCTGCCCTTTTGTATTATTAACATTATTCTTGTTATTGTTGTTGCATTTAAGGTGGTTGTATAATAGTTCTATTGCTCTTATCTATTTATCTTTTGGGTTAGAGTTATAACTGTTCTCATGCTTATAAAAAAAATAAAAAAATAAAAAAATATGCCTTGGTAACTTCTAGTTTGATCAGGGAAACCACAGAAAACGAATTTGCTAAGGAAGGGTACAGATTTGGACAAGAGGAAGAAACTTATAATATCATAGCTGCCGGCCCCAAGTGTCGCCATACTTGCGTACAAAGACAAGCGCCCCGTCGAGATCTCAGCAGTTGAAATGGTTCTCATGGTCAATTTTTGTAGTATATACCCTGCACATGTTGAAAAAGCTGAAAATTGTGTGTTGTAGATTAAGATTGATGACAGTTTGCAAGTGGCTTTCGTCCTTGAATTGTTACAAGTAAAATTTATCCAGTGTTATTCCCACTAATGTGGGTTACTAGGAAATATAATTTGGATACAGACTAGCCCTGGTTTTACTTGCACAAAGTGAAACCTTTGAACATGAATCCAAGTTTATACACAATGGACTACTTATCAAAATTTTTTTTTATACACAATGGACTGAGCTACCATTGCACCGAGCAACGACCACTGGGTTGATAAATGCATATTTCATCAGTATCAAATTTCAATCTAGAGATGGCAACGTTAAATTCACACGTACTGATAAGCCCTTTTTTTTTTTGTGACACAACACAATATCATCTATATTTTTTTTAGGGGTAATTGCAAAAGAGAGCCCCTGTTTGGAATAAAGGTATGGATGATGAAGAATTGCAAAAACCCCTGAAGTATGCGAGTTTTGCAGGTTGTTCCCTTGGAATGAATTACCTCCTTCAACTACTGGAAATATTGCAGGAATTTAGTACAAGGGGGTTCTTGCCATAATTTTTGATAGTTGAAGGTGGTGATATGCTATATTTTCAATTCAAGGGGCCAACATGCCAGAACTTAGTACAAGGGGTTTTTGCAATTAACCCTTTTTCTATGAGCACAAATATTTCTAGTTGTTTCCAATGTATTTGTCGTTATTTAAAAAGAAAAAATAAAAAGAAAAGTCATATACTTTTCTCTGTCTTCCATTTGTCTACCTAATTTGATGCATGGACCTCTCTTAAGTTGAGTTTTGATCCAATCCGACTATCCAAGTATGTCTTTAACTGTTCTTCTTCCTGAAGATTTTGAACACGAGTCTTGCTAAAGTAGAATGCAGACTCTATTGCTCACTAAAAAAGTTCTGAATCGAGGTCAGCTTGACCAGTATCTCAGTGAAAGATTGTCATTTTGCTTAAAAAATACTGTTGTTATACTAATTTCTCATATATTATGTATCACTTGATGACAAATTAAGAGATTACGTGTGATGGAGATATTGTTGTAGCTATCGTTCTCTTTTCCTATTGTGTGTTTATTTGTCTGAGTTTTCTCACTCTCCTATATCGGGGCTTCCTTTTATATATATATATATATTATTATTATTATTATACCTTCCCTTAGTTTGTGCCCTCTTTGTATGAATATATACATTTTCATGCATCATTTCCTTCCCCACCTAACATCTTTCTACTCTTGCTTGCTTAGATATTGGTTTAACTGACATAACTGTTGCATTCTTAATTGACTTCCATTAGTACAAAGGAAATAGTGAAAATCATTACTTAATATTGTACAGAATTTGAATTGTTTACTATGCTAAACTTTGCTTATGAGTCACCTTCTTCAAATGGTTTCCCCTTCTCCTAACGGTTACTAAACTCACTACAACAGAAGTAACTGTTAAAATTGTGTTATCTATTGAATGAACTCATAGTAGTCTTAGCAAGGTGTATTGGAAAATATTGTCAGTTTATCGTGCTCAATGTTGAATCAAAATCCAATTAAAGAATTAGGTGTTTATGAAGATCATTGAAGTTTGTTTTAACATTACCAAAAAGAAGGTTTTGATGGAATTTTCTAATTATTATTTTTTATTGCATTTTGCATGTGGAACTGTGCAATGGATAAAGCTATCAGCACACAAAATACCACAAGCGTAAGTCCACCTTCTGTCATCCATTTTATAGCTGTCATCTGGTTGGTGCTGATGAATTTTCTGTAAGGCCCACTTTGATGTGTTGCAATTATTACCATTCAACCTTTTTATATGGCCATGTTATGTGATTTTTATGGCTATTTCAATCTAAAAGAACTACATTCGTCCATAAGTATTATTAGTATCTTGTAACTTTTGAAACTTATGATCAAATGATGGCCAACATTCAACAATTGGCCTAGTTGTGGTAAGAAAGCAAGGAGTGCTTTTTCCTGTATACATATATTGAGTCTAGTGTGGACAGATTTATTTATTTATTTTTGAAATTTTATTTATTTAGTAAACATGACACTAGATGGAAATGTTTCGTGTTTATTTAAATCTCCAAAAGCACATAGCAGAGTGCAAATGTTGTATGTATGCCTAAGTTGTGATGCTTGCAATTTTATTGCGTCTGGGAATATATGATATTAAAGCTTTTGCGTAAAGCGTTACATATGGTTTAATATAGCATTTCTTAATTTCACATACTTGTATTTTGTTGTATATTATCTCTTTACACTGCATATGCTATATATTCACATTTGCATGCCAATGCTTACGTTTCATAATTTCAAATAAGTGTACTTTATTGTATATCATCTTTTTACACTGCATATATTATGTATTCACATTTGCATGCCAATGCTTCCAGTAAAACCTGTTATTTTTTTTATTTTTATTTATTTATTTTTAAATGCATAACCTAAGATGCTTCTATGTTTAATGACATGTGAAATTTTGTCAATTATATGTTAGAGTAACACCTATAGTATGGGTTGATTAAGTCCATAGGATGTTCAAGAAAGAGCAAATTTGAAAAATAGGATTCCTTGGTTTGTAACTCTGAGAACAGTTTTCTGTTTTCAGAAAACTGAAAATAGAAAACTGTACAAAAAACTCTGCTTGGTTCAGTTTTCTGAAAACTCAGTTATAAAAAGACATGTTTTCAGAGAACTGTCTTTTATTTGGATATCAAAGTAGGGCCAGTTGGGACCCCTTAGAGTTATCTTTTAATTCGTGTTGCTGAAAACTCAGTTATAAAAAGACATGTTTTCAGAGAACTGTCTTTTATTTGGATATCAAAGTAGGGCCAGTTGGGACCCCTTAGAGTTATCTTTTAATTCGTGTTGGGTTCCAACGCGTTCTTTAGTGAAGTTTGTTGTTGGTTTAACTTTATTTAAAATTTATCTAATTTTTGGATCAAGTTGTTATCTCGGATCTCAATTTTTAGCAAGTCTATAAGGGTTTGACTAGTCAAAGTCTTTAGGTTTCTGAATGCAAAGTAGTTATGTAATTGGAGATCACGATTTTAAGAATATTCCATCAAATATGCTCTATGTGGATCATTTGCTACAATTCAAACCTAAAATTTGATATCGATGAAAATCAAAATGTGGTAGTGTCTAGCCTGTCCTACTTTTCTTCTTCTCCTCCTCTTACTTATAAAAACAATATATATATATATATATATATATATATATATATATATATATATATATATATATATATATATTTTGTACCCTTAAAAATCTGGTGTCAGTTGGCCAAGCCCCTTCCTCAATTAGTCATCCTTGTCACAGAAGAAGTCCTAAATTCAGAAATATACTGTTCACCGTATCCAGAAAAGGCCCTAAACTCTCCCCCTTCTTGCCTAAATATATAGCCTTGACTTAACACCAACCCTTTGGCCACAATAAATTTTTTTTATTCCTTTTTCCTCCCCTCCCCCCTCTCTTGGGATAAAATAGAAACTAATCTCAATCAGGTATTAGCCCCTTCTCCATGCTGCCTTATTCAACTTTAGTGTTGCAGCTTGTAGGAGAGTGTTTCCTCACATCTGTCCTGCATCATGGGTTCTTTACAAATTCAAGGATATATATTTTTCAGAGATAATTAATGCGAGTCTATGTTTTAAATGTGGGCATTTTGATGGAAATTTCAATGTATTTATTTTTTTTTTTTTTTTATATTGACCACAAATTAGAAATTCTGTTTCCTTGAATTATTGGAAAAAAATTGAAATTTTTAGTGAGGCTTCTAGAATTGTTAAAATATATACACGTTAAAAACTCACGTATGAGAGATGCATTGATATATAATAACTATGGGAAGTTTTTTGTGCTTCAATTCCTGACACAATTGATGTATTGACATACAAAATTATTTTGAATCTCAAATACAGATATGGTGGAGGGGTATGCCCCTATTTTGCATTGCATATAAAATAGGTGGGTTATGCCCCCCCTTCTCTGTACATATCTTTTTCTTCATGCAGCACAATTTTCTTATCAATAAACAAGTAACACATATATGAAATCCAAATAAGAGAAAAATATGAGCCTCCTGTTTGGAAAGCCTTGAATTTTTACCAGCGACCCAATATCATAGTTGGCAAGTGTGGAAAGTGCTTTACTACTGTATTGAGCTTGTCTAATGACTTGACTTGCTTTCGATCAGACATTTAGCAGGTAAGAATGTAATTTCCTGTAAATTTACTGAAAGTGGTAAAAAAAAAATATTTTCATTTATTTAATTGAATACGAGATCCTCAAACTTTCTATAAAATTTGATTGAATAATGTAAGAGCTAACAGCTTCACAACCCATTTGTGTGGTATCCAGTTCTAATTGAGATTATTGCATTTAGAAAGTACTATTAAACTTTTAAACTAGTCCTTTCGGACTTTCTGATGAAAGTGAAACCTTGTTAGTTTATGACTTTGTTTTCCATCAAGTAAGTTGGGCTGTAGGCGGGTAGTGTCTTTCTTTACATCTCCTCCTCTGGTTATTTGCTTTATCTTTTAAATTAAAAATAAAAAAATAAAAAAATAACTGATTTGTTAAACATTATTCTCTAGATTTGCTGTTTGTAATTATTTTAAAATATTTTTTGCTTCTTTGTGATAGTTGGAATTGGATGGTTGTTCATCTTTCTTTTTGGTCTCAGAAACTAAGAATCAATGGGCACGTGATGATCCAGCCTTTGTTGTAATCTGCAGTCTTCTGTTAGCCATTTCTACTATGGCTTATTGTGCTGCGTAAGTTTAGCATATACTCACTGGTTGTTGCTGGTTATCCAAAGTTTGATGTTTAATTATCTCACCAAATGAAACTTTGTTTTAAGTATTCTTGAGCTACCAAAACACTTTTTGGAAAGGAAGTCTTGTCAGAATGCCCCCATCAGAGAGATGTGGGAATGAGAATTTTTTTACGATTGATATGTAAATATATAAGGCTGATTCTTCATCTTCAATGTAGTTAAACTTTTTGATTTCAATAACTTCATGGATCAATAGTTTGTATGGTGTTTGATTATTTTATCTTTATTATACTTTTAGGCCGTTCAACATTCAACCTCTTTCAAGTAAGTATTATATGTACTTTCATGCTGATTCTAACCCAATCTTGCCAATTTTTTACTTATTCCAGGTATGATCATAGTGCAGCACATGCTGTCTTCGTACTCATTTCAGTATTGCTCTTTCATTTTTTAATAACTGGAGCAATTCTAGCTACATGTTGTTGGTAAGACCCATTACTAATATAAAATACTCTCATTACTTCTTTCTGTTATCTCTTGATGTTACCTTTACTAATTTATCCAGACAATACTACTTCTTTTACTTCATATATTCATACTACTAGGTCATAACACCTACCAAAACATTCTTTTTTGAAAAATTAAGCTTTCATTTAGGGGGGGCAAACAAAATTTAAGCTTTCTAATATCTATTTCTGGATATTCTCATTTATATGAACAACATGGTTGGGGCTTTAGAGGTTTCAGTTTGTTCTAACATTCATTTTTCCTTTGTACTAAGATGACCTGATATTTATGAGTAGACGTTGCACAATTTATACAGTGAAACAGTAGTGTGATTTGAGTTTCTGTCCACCAATTTGCATGCAGGTTCTTGACAAATACTCATCTTCGAGAGGAAGCACCAAACAGTCATGTTGTGGAGCAAAGGGTTGAATGGCAAGTTCAGAAATTCTCCACTTTTCCGCTTTTTTTGGTTTTTAACCAATTTGTCACAATCATACTATTCTTTTTTATGTGTATATTTTGTATGGGTGTGTTCTGTGTGCTTTTAATAGTGTATATATGATTAATGCAGCCTATATTTATCTCTATTATTATTTTTGTTCAAGTTAATAAAGATGAGCTCATTTGAATTAAGTGTTCCACTAATAATCTTTTCACCCCTTTTCTTCTTCTCTTGTGAAGGTTATATGCTTTTGATGTGCACTGCAACTCTTTCTTCCCAGTGTTTGTTATGCTTTACGGTAATTGTGAAGTTGATATGTATTACACTCTTGGAAATTATCTATTCCAATTTATGCACCAGAATGTTACTTAAGTTTTTTCTTTTGTGGCAGTGATACATTATTTCCTATCACCTCTTTTGGTAGCTCATGGTTTCATTCCAGTTTTGCTGTCAAATTTGCTTTTTATGGCAACCGCTTCATACTATCATTACCTGAACTTTTTAGGTTATGATGGTAAGTTGATCTTATTTCTCGCTATATTGCTTTTTCCTATACAAGTAATTGAAAATGCTCTGGTTCAATTGGTTGGATGGGAGCATTTATTCCTGTGTTGTACATAGCATCTTTATCTTAGAAACTTCATGAGATGGGTATAGATACATCTGGAACTAGAATTACATACTCTGAAATTACCAATGATATTGTCCTAGTTTTTTAACATATAAGGTCTTTCTGGACTGAAGTACACATCAATGGCTACAGAAACCGGTCTTGTTTCTCACTTGGATCAACTACTAAAAGCTGACAAACTCTTGTTCATAATGTTTTTTGTCAAACTGTGGGTGGGCCTGGTTAACATATATCATGCATTTTGTGTTAAAAAAGTACGTAATACATGGTTTGCCAGAACATTTCTATTTAGTTGTTTGCTCTGGTACAGTTCTGAACTAGAATTTGTTGGTGAAGCTTCCATTTCCAGTACAGCTCCTTCAGACTACCTTGATAGATGAATGTTCTGATGGTGTGTTTCATGCTGCAGTACTGCCCTTTTTAGAAAGAACCACTTTTTTCCTGTATCCAATTGGCATGGTCATCATCCTTTCACCTATATGTAAGTGTCAACAGTCCTGTTTGTTTTTCTTTCCCCCCCTCCCCTTTCACCAGCTTGTTGCTACAGGAGATGATTTTCTTGTTTTGCCTTGCAGTGATTCTAAGTGGCTTCAATCCTTCAAGATACTTCATGAACATATACTTCAGCCAACGGTTATGATTCACCGTGGCCACACTTGGACGATACATATAGTGAAATGAGGTGGAATAGTTCAGATGATTTGTTAACATAAGAAGGGGCTAGAGGATGCATGATTGATTATCTTATACGATAGGAAGGTAGATCGCCACATGGAAAAAGCTTCTGACTGACTTCTGTTGTTCTTCTTCATAGGACTCGTACCAATGCAAATGAAAATTGTAATCAAGTCGGGGCTAAAAGTTCTCTTTCGGTGGCCAAGCAAATCAGTCAACGAATCTGAATGTAATGATTTTTGCCCCCTATTTGCAATTTTGAATTTTCCTTGTGTGTCCTTGTTCATTTCTTAAAAATAAAAAACTGATTGCCCCAATCGAAAATACTGCACTTATGTGTCTGTATATCTCGGAATTACATGCAACTGCCTAATTTCTGCGTACGTGTGCGCATGAACTTTTCCCATGTCGTGCTTAGGTTGGCTCTGAATCAGTTTTGTTACAGGAGGGTAGTTTATGTGGAGGAATAGGAATTCTATTGCAAGTTTATCCTCCTCGAATCTGTAGCTGTGGAAGCCAAAAAGTCCTTTTAACTTTCTGTATGTATGCTAGTAAAACTGTAGAATAGTCATATATATTAAGATGACTAGTTATTTGATACATGAAGTAACGTGGACATGGAAATATGCTGCTTTTAGTGATTGTGCTGAAACCCTAGACGAATTGCGTTGTAGGGGAACTCTAAAACATTGGTGTGATGGGGATCGTTTTAATTTGAGAATATGTGAAATGTTCTAATAATGGTTCATTTTGTTTTTCATTCATTTTATATTAGTAATGGAAGAAATGATGTGTTAAGTGGGTTGTTCCAACTTCCCCAAGTCAGAAAATTTGTAGTAAACAGTTGGTAGAATGTTGGTGATTTTGAACTACATTGAAGGCTTTTCTTCCCTTGTACGGAGTATATACATAAATACTGTAGGGGCACCAGTCTCATCTTTATTAAATTGGTGCAAAAAATCCCTCACTAAAATTAAACAACCCCTGCCCCCTTTTCTGTTTGAATCTAATAAGTAGGTATGAATTGACAAATTTAGCCCTATTGTATAATGTGAAATTTAAATACATAATAATTGTTATTTTACAAATTACAATGGTAACCTTGGTGGAGTCCATTCCCAGTAATTTTTTTTTTTTACTCATTCCAAGTAATTGATGAGGCTTCAAAATGACCACATTTTGATGGAGCATTCGCAACGGAGTAATGCTTCTAAGAGCACTCAAATAATTTAGAATAGAAAGCAAAAAAGGTCAGAACAAATAGAAAGCATTAACAGTATTAAGTTACTAAATATCGGTAACACAACCTCCACTTAAACAAAATAATACATCAATCTCGCCCCTCTAGCACAATAGTACCAAATAAATAGAGCACTCAAATAATTTAGAATTTCCTTTAAATTTATTATATCCATCTCTGTCACTATAGAATTGGACCTTGTTCACATTATTACAATATTTAAGTTCACTGATCAAGTTTGTTGCCGCCGGCGACATGGACGACGAATCTGTACCTGACATCGTTCTTCTCCAACCTCTGGAAAGCAGTGTTTATGTAATCCATATTTACCACTTCGATCATGGAACTCACTCCCTTCTCTTTGCAGAACTCAAGCATTTCCTCGGTCTCCTTCATGCTCCCTATGAAGCTCCCTGCGATTGTCTTCCTCCCTTCACATATATATAAAACATATATATACCCAATCAAACAGAGCAACCACCATCACATATATAAAACAAAGCACATTGCTTCTACTTTTCAAGATAATAAATATTTAGGTTGATGACAGATTTACCGTGTTGAAAATAGATTTAATTGCATTGAAAATATTAATTCTACAACAAGGGGGTTATATACAGCAGATGATCTGGACTTACCATGTATACATGTAAAATGAAATATATACTGAGGATATGCATGTACGTACACATGTATAAAATGTAATATATACACGGGATATACATGTAGACATGTATGTATATAGCTAGAATAATGATCTCTTGCTTATTGGTGAGTAAGAGACTCTCTCTGTATCGAGCATAGTAATTTTTATATATGATTTAAATTTGAATAAAGGTAATTATAAAAAAGAATAATTATTATATCATACATAAGTGAATACATGAATTTAGTATTGAGCAATAGACAATTTCTAAACGCATATATACTATATATAAATATATTATATTATATAGAGAAATAAAGAGTGTCGTTAATTACCAAGAATAACCATTGGGGTGACAAACTGAAGAGGGGTATTGCTAACACCCAACAAAATCAACTTCCCATCAAATTTCAACAGAGAAAGGTAAGGCTCAAGAGGGTGAAACGCAGGCACTGTGTCAATGATGTAGTCGAGCGAGTCAGCAGCTTCTTGCATCCGAGTCGTGTCTGAGCTGACCAGGTAATCGTCCGCTCCCAGGTGGTCCATAGCCTCCTCTCTCTTCTTCTCAGAAGAGCTTATGACAGTCACATGATGACCCATGGCCTTTGCTATCTTCACCCCCATGTGTCCAACCCCTCCAAGCCCCAATATGCCTCCTCTCAGTCCACTCTGTTTCAGACCAAAGTGGCTCAGTGGGCTGTACACTGTCACCCCCGCGCATAGTAGTGGCGCCGCCTGTTCTACCGCCATCCCATCTGGTATTTTCACCACAAACCTACCCATATAATAATAAAATTTAGACTACATTTCACTAATCACTTAAATTTGAATATATATATATATATATATATATATATATATATATATATATATATGATTTTTCTCAAAAAGAGCTCTACTATGTGCAGTCGCGAGAGTCGCGACTGCACATGCAACATTTGCAGGACGGACTCAAAAATTTATATGAGGGTGGGTTTTTCATTTCTTTATTTATTATTATTTTTTTTGTAATTTCAGAGAGACAACTTTAAAATTTTATAGATACATAATTAAAAAAACATAAAAATCAGTAATATATAAATTTAAAATACTTAAAATCTAAGGGTTGATATTGTATAATCACGACTAGACTTAATATCTTCATTTACCAAATGTAAAAGAGACAAAAATGATTAGAACCATGAAAAAGTATTTAAATTTCAGTGGTGTTCTTAGTTTACGGAACAATATTTTTATTAAAAAGTTGTCATATTATTTGAGAATTAAATAATAATATCAAAGTCTGTAACTTAATGCTGTCACTGTAATTTTATTTATATATCCATATTATGCACATAAATGATGAAGTATGGAGGGTATTGTGGGAATGTTTGATTACTTATGATCAACGACCATAGCACCAGCAAATCCACCTTGGGTGGGTCTGCCATCAGTATAGACATCGCTATAGGTCCAGATCCTCTTGCTGCAGTATTGCTCAACGTCCGATTTGCATGGGTGGCAGTTCCTGCAACATCCAACGATGGTACCAACTCCGACGCAGTCTCCTACTCTGAACTTTGTCACATCTGATCCTACCTCCACCACCTCACCTACGACTTCATGCCTTCATTAACATAAGGGATATATCCATGTTACTAGTAATTTAGTAAAAGAGCTAGTATCAAGAATCAATGTTATAGATGGTACGTACACACGAATATATGATCTTTTCTGCATGTGTGTGTGTCAGTGTGTATATCAGATCTGGGAACAAGCTGCCTATATATAAATATATGGATATGAAGGGAGAGAGAAAAAAAAATACTCCGTATATATACACACACACACACACACATACCCAGGAACCATGGGGTAATTGGACATGGCAAGATCGTTTTTGACTTGATGAATGTCAGTATGGCAAATTCCACAGCAGAGTATCTTGATGAAGACATCTTCTGAGCCTGTATTCCTGAGATATAGAATATGTACGTACTGATTTTAGAGAGCTATAGATCACTTGGGAGAGATGAAATTAATTAATTAAAACCTGAAATGAATCAATTAATTAAAAAGAGCTAGCTAGGGTGATATATATATATATATGAGATTACCTGAGAGTGTAGGTATAGGGTGAGAGAACCCCCGATGGGTCTCTTGCTGCCCATCCTGTTGTTGTTTTCTCCACTTCTGAACTACCCATTTCACCAAAGAGTGATCAGTGAGAAGACAGAGAGATCTGAGGATTGATATTCAAGAATGTGGATATATATATATATATATATTGGATGCAATCTGATGACTATATATATATATATATACTTACTTATACAATAGAAAGTATTTATGAAAAAGTGGAGCTCTCAGTATTTATACCTATGGTTATTGATAGTCTCGGAAAACTGAAGTTGACCCTCCAAGTAGTTTTAAAAAATTTGTCCATTTATAGTTATTAAAGATAGTTTGTAAAAGAATTTTTCTTTTCTTTTTTTTCCCAAGGTTGTAAAATAAATTACTTGTCACTTAGCTAACCTTATCCGCTTTGTTTTTAAAAATTGTATGTCCAGTAGAAAAAGTATTAATTATTATTGTAATTTTTTTTTTTAAAAGTTAAATTTCAATTTTATAGATATAAATATTAACAAATATACAGCCTACTGTTAGGCTTGTTAGCCGAAGCTAAAAAACCATCACAACATGAGTCCATGAATACTGAAGCCCAGGCCCAATATTACAAACATCCCATCCAAGGGACCACGCATAACAGTGACGAAGATGGAGAAGGGCTCCTCATACTCGCCGATCTGGCGGCTTCCCCGGCGGCCGATCAACTGAACTTGGAAACTCCCATTAATTCCTCAATTATGCGTCTGTCATTATCAGTAAGTGATGAGGACATTAGTTTCGACTAATTATTATTGTAATTTTTGCTACAACTCTTTCTCTCTCTATATATATATATAATTTTTTTTTTTTTTTTTTTTTTTTTTTAAGGTACGTATATCGATCCCACAACACATACATCATTAAGATACAATTTAAAACGAAACTTCAAAAACATATGGAGAAGAAAAATAATGCTCAAATATTTGACAATCACATTTATTAGTTATATATACGATGATGAATGAGAAAGGTGGGCAAAATTAGGGAAACTAACATATAGGTACCTAAAACTTGAGCTTAAAGTTAAAGTTGTCATTTTTCATTAGCAATGACAAATCCCTTCACATCATTTTCATTACCTAATTTTCGTAAAAAATCATTGTCATTACCAAATCAATGGAGGAATTCAAAAATAAACATTCCATCAAAGGGCTTAGACATGTACTTTTCTTTTGTAGAAGCTAATGTTACGTGAAACTTAATTAAACACGTATATGTAGTAACTTTTTGTTCTTAATTATGACAATGATGTGTCCAAATTATTGCTGAAACTTATATATATATATATATATATATATATATGTGTGTGTGTGTGTGTGTGTGTGTGTGGTTTCTTGCATCGTGAACAAGCTAGCTTTTGAACCATCAAAATCTGCTGAGAATTCATTAGTGTCACGAGATCAATTTTTTCAACCAAAATTGGTTATACATATCAATCAATTCTATCGATCTACTCTTTCACTTGATGAATTATAACATGAACTGAGCCAGACAGGGGGTTCAATGTAACAAATAAAATCGAGATAAAGTAATTTTACAATTTTAAAAAATTATACATATAAAAATAAACTTTTTTTAAAGTTGAGAGAGAGAGAGAGAGAGAGAGGGGGCAATGAATTGATAAATGAACTAGTGTGTATTTCCTTGCATTTGCCAAACATAAAATGTGCTTTCTAGGTTTTTATTGTAAAACTTCATGTAACATTTGTATACCACAAAAAATGTTTTCTGAACAGTCATAAACAAAAACGATGATTTGGCTGACAACAGCAGTCATACCCACATAAAATTAATTAATTTATATTTATATAAAATTAGTCAAATTTATCCAACTATCATATTCTCTATCATTACTTTAGAATTGTGCTTCTTATTTTTAACCGGAAACAAAAATTATTCTTACTACTAAATGCGCTCTTACACTATTTATTGTTCTTATACATTCTGAGATGTGTGATGCATTAAGTTGAGAAATTTAACTATAAAATGATGTCAAAAGAAGAATAATACTCAGGGCTGGTGAAGCTACTTCAACCATTGTATATATTATATAGGCTGTTGGTGGTGGTGGTTGATCCACACAATCAAAAGTAAAAACGATTGAATCTGTTTTTAGAGGACGAATTTTCCACATCATGATGGGGCTCAACGTGGACAAATTCATCATACTTTCTTCATGTTTTCATCTACAATAATTATGTTGTTTTCTTATTAAACATATTTTAACCGTTTAATTAAATAACAAAATTCGGGCACTACCATAATGAGACTCATATATTATTGGAATGGACAGTAGTCATAACATCCGATCAAGGACTGAACATACTCTCATACTTCTTATAATTGGCTCGGTACTTGTCATTTGACTCAAAAATTTAAATTGATAAATTCCACCCACTGTCATTTGTAAGTACCCCACATAAATATCATCTACGTTTCATAAATTCACTTACTCTCCTAAAGTTCAGATTTGTATAATAGATTCTCTATCACTAGGTATTTGATGAATTCGGTTGATGTCACTTAGAGAAAATTGAAAGAATGTCAATTTTGCTCTTCTAATACAAAAATGAAAATATATATAATTCATGGGCAAAATGATAAAATAATACGTAACTATTACCAAGTCGGACGGTCAGATAAAGAGATAAGTAAAATTACAAAAGGTAAGGGGTCGATATGAAATATTGATAAACCTTAAAAAGAAAAAAATTAATAAACCTCAAAAAAAAAAAATGGTAAATAAAGTAAATAAAATTTATTTAAATTTAAACGTTGGTGGTGGTACTTTCATAAGCACAATATTCTTCCTATGTAGGACAAAAACCCTAAACAAGTTCTAAAGGGAGTGGAACTTCCTCCAATATTAAAAATAAAATTACATACATAAAAAAAATAATAATAAAAATAAAAAACCGGTAATAGGAATGGCGTTTGGGAAATTTTGTTGGATGGTCTAAAACATTGGGCTTCTTATCAGCCCAGTGAGCCAGTTTTCCTTTTTCGTCCCTGGTAAGCCGAGTTACAATTCGTTCAGATTTTGATTGTGTTCTGTGCCAAAACCACTAGTGTTGAAAAGAAAATTTTCTCCATTTTTATGTGTTTTTTTATGTTAATGACTTCTGCCTTTTCAAATCCGTTGTAGCGCAAATTACCATCTTAGCCCCCTTCAAACTCTCTCTCTCTCTCTCTCCCTAACCAGAATCCAGAAACCCTAACCGGCATGGGAGAAGATCGTCGGATTTACGTCCATAAATCTCTTGGCGGTGGTGCAGGTACTCTCTCTCTATACATACAAATGTATATATATATATATATATATATATATATATATGCATACAAAACTTTATTGCATATGTATAACACATACACGTTTGTTATAGATCTGTTCCTACGATACGGATGGTAGCAAAATTCTTCTTTGCCATCGAATTTTTTAATTTCCAGAGTTATTGTGTTTATTCATTTTGTCTGGAAAAATTCTCTGTTTTTGGATTGATTGGAGAGGTTTTCAAAATGAATTGGGAGATTATGTTATTTTTATTTTTTAAAAATTATGTGTGTATATGTATGTGTATATATATTCTGGTGCAGTTGCCGATGTGTTGTTGTGGAAGAGACGGTGTGGAGCGGTTGTTCTGCTAGTCTCTGCCACCTCCCTGTGGTTCCTATTTGAGAAAGCCGGCTACAACATCCTATCGTTCACCGCAAATGTCATATTGCTTCTTGTTGCAATCCTCTTCTTCTGGGCTAAATCAGCTTCACTTCTCAATAGGTAGGTATACATTTGTGTGTACTTGTGTTTTACCTCTTTAATCCTTCGTAACAACCATATGTTTGTATTATTGCCTTTACTTTTAGTTTATGTAGTGACTAGGAGAGATAGGGTTAATGAGAGCCAGAGAAAAATCTGGGGTGACGTCCATTGGTGAGAAACTGGTATGGACACATACAAAGAATACCCATAGATGCACCAGTAATAAGAGGTAGATTAGTGTATGTAGAAGGTAAGAGAAGAGAGGTTGACCAAAATTATCGTGGATGAAGTTATTAGAAATGATTTTTAAAAATTAAATATTAGGGTTGAGGTGGTTTGCAATAGAAACTAGAAAAAGATAATTTATGCGGTCAACCTTGGTCATACGGAATTAAGGTAAGGATGATGATGATGATGACAAAAATGTTTTCTGTTTGTTTTTCTTTACACACTAAAATGTAGTGATCAATTGTATTTTCAATACCTCTCCAATTTTCTCTCAATAAGTGTATACTTGGGATTTCCTAACGCTTTGAAACAATTGACTTCTTTTCTTATGTGGGGTTAGAAGTTTTTATATCAAATGTTCAATAATGTGATATTTCAGACCTCTGCCTCCCATTCCTGATCTGGAAATTTCTGAGGAATCCATTTTGAAGGCTGCTGACATTCTCCAGGTGTGGACCAATCAAGCATTGTCGGTTGCACGTGACATTTCAGTTGGTGGAAATTTGAAACTTTTTTTGAAGGTGTGATTAAGTGCTATAATTTCTTCTTTTTCTTAAATAAGGTCAGACTAGTGTATACTCGTCTTTTACATAGAAATGATGGAATGAGTCTGTGTTATTTACATTTGGATTTCAGGTTGTTTTTGGGTTGTGGTTTATATCTTACATTGGTAGTTTCTTCAACTTCCTTACACTGCTCTACATTGGTGAGTTTTTTTTAAGCCTTCACTAACTCAGTGGGCAAATTTCTTTTTATAATTCTATGCATTAATTTGGTTATCGCTACAATTTTTCTTCAGGGGTTCTTCTTAGTATGTCAGTTCCTGTGTTGTATCACAAATACCAGGATCAAGTTGATGAAAAGTTGATGGTAGCTCATAAAACCATTCACACACAGTACAGGAAAATCGATAACAATATCTTACAAAAGATTCCAATGGTCCGTAACAAGGAAAAGAAAGCTCAGTAGTCCAAGTATGACTCTCTCTCTCTCTCACACACACACACAAAAGATAATAAATCATGTTTGTACAGACCACTGTGCTTGAACCAATTATTTTCAAATGCTTACTTTTTTTTGTCATTGTGTCGTTAAACAAATTACAGTTAAGTGCAATCAGTATCAGTAGCAATTACAGTTAGGTGCTATGTGTAACATTGTGCCTCTAATAGATGTTTTTAATGTAATTGGATTGTAATTGTCAAAGAATATTTAGAAATCAGCGTAGTACATCATTCTAAGTATAGAAGGTCCTTATGATGTTCTGTTTGTGATGATACACATGGCGCATTTCAGTAGAGGAGGCTTTAAACTTAAATAGGGGTGAATAGTGTGGGTTGCATGTTGAGCTTTTCCTATTATATATTACAATGATGCATCTGATTGGATTTGTACATTATGGGTCACCTTCTGTTTATCCATTCATATACTCCGTCACGCAATCAAGTTGGAGAAAGGAGGAAATAGTGATGGTCATGGTCGTTTTTTTGTCAAAGAATCTGTTTTAAAATTCTAAAGAATTTATGGGTTGACGTTTGAATATTACATGGAATAGTATTGATGCTTAGATTTCTTGCACAATGTGGACTCACACTTGTTTAAAACTACTTGCTGATTCAAGTGACAGTGCCCTTACTGACAACTGATTATAGGGTGCTGATAAGAGGAAGTGCTCAAAAGTGCTCTTTGTTTACATTGAAGTTTATTATATTTAATAGGCAGTGAGTATCAAGTCATGCACATTTCATGTTTGGTGCATATCTTTCATTATGAGATTTGTGTGTCCTGGCCGTATCATATTTAACCTCGATGATTCTGAAAACTGAAGCAATGTTCTGTGGATGAGTTTGATAATTTAGGTAAACTAGAGTTGTCACTTGGCAACAGGTGGGCCTTTTTCAGGGGGATCGAGACGCGGGGTGGGCGGAGGATGGGGTGTGAAAGCCTAAGGGGAGTTATCAATTGGAGACAAGAACAGATGCAGTCACTTAAACAGATACAACCTGAAACTTTAACCCGGGCTCGGGCTCAGACAAAACTTGAAATTGAAATTCTTTTTTACTTGTTTTTGGTGTTTCTTTCTTAGCTTTGTTGTCTATCATTTTGGATGTCTTATGGGATATTAGGACACAAAGACAAACCTTTTTTTTATTTATAAGTAGGACACAAACACAAACTTAAGCATCCAATTTGAGTGCAAGGCAAGTACTCATAAGGTTCTGTTTAGTAGATGGAAACTAATAATGAAGAGTGACTATAAAAGAAAGGAGTGACTGAAAGGAAAATAAAATTTTCAACTTGCATTTGATTAGCATGAAATTTTTTTAAGTTGTGAGAAATTACCATTTTCGTATATTGGAATGAATGCTTGGAACTTACAAGAAAAGAAAGTTTCTAAAGAAATAAAAAATTTCCTTCGTTTTTTTGTTGGAAAAATTTATGGAAAGTTAGGTGATTATGGAAATTTGCTTTCCCTAAAAATTTTCTTTTCCTACTATCCAAACTCTTATAATACAAAAACAACAACCAAGCCTTTTTCCCAACTACTTGGGGTCGGCTATGTCCAAACTCTTAAAATGTTGAAAAAATTTCCATTTCCTTTCTTGCTATTTCCATTTAAATCAAAAGGAGCCTAAATGAAATTAAATGAGTTACATTGCACTTTTTGTTATTCTTTACATTTCTGCATGCACTAATATATTTGATAAAACAAAACAGGCTAAAGTGGATGTGCACCTTCAATTTGGTTTTTACAATGTTCTAGTTCTCTTGTTTAGATTTTTGAATGGTAATTATTATTTCTTTTTAAATAATATGAATAAGATGAATGGTAGTGTCATATTTAAACATTATCGATATTCGATATTCAAAAAGTTGCAAAAAATGGCAAGAAGGTCAAATTTAGGGTCTTTATTTTTGTTTGTTTTTCCTGCATGGTGTCAAGTCATTTTGTCAAACGTAAGTACGGATTATAGATATTGTAAGAGGTTTTTTACATGCTAAACCCATAGAGATCCTTCTACTTTATTTGCCTCGTGGCTGGCCTTTACGTGTTTAACATTAACAAAAATAATAACAATAAATAAATATTGAACTTTTGTTGTCTTTTAAGAGGAATTTGCATTTCATGTGGAAGTTGTAGTGAACCAGTAAGTTATTCACCTCATCAACAATGAGCAAGCTTGCAGTTACCTAATACTGAATTATTGTCAATTTGTCATGTTCGAACCAATTTTTATTTGCTTTCCATGGAGTTGTGGTTACTTCTAGTGCGGGCTCATATGTGTTCACTTTCTATTTTAATTTCACACACAAGTCTCAGCGTAGGAGGAGCACATTTTTTTATTTTGGGAAATTTGATGTTATTGCATATTCTTTGCCTTAATTGCTGCTTCTTTTTATCTCCATCTTTATTCTATTAACTTCAATTTTCAATAAGCATTTGCCTTCTGTGGATACTGCATAGTATCTTGGAATGATGGGAGAATCATCAATCTACAGTTTCATTAGTTGCTTGCATATTTAAAGAATATTAAAAGTTGAAAATCCAGGCTAGATTATTAAAAGATTTTCTTATGAGATGTTTGTGGTTTAAAATAGGATGACGAGTTTATACCGGAATATGCTTCATAGATGCATAATTTTTTTTTATTAAATCTAATGATATATAGTCATCTAGTTGTGAGTCAACCAGTTGATTGCTGGAGGGTTGATCCAGCAGTGGAACATTAATCATTTAATTCATGGTTATTGCAAATAATCTTAGTCCAATGCAGATTATTTCCTGATATACAACTGAAAGGAGCATGATGGAACAAGATAGTAATATCATATTTCTATGTAGCAAATTATATATAAGGAAAGAAAAAGAAGAAAACCAAATTATGCTAAGATACTACTATATATTATTCTTGAAAAGTAGAAGAGAATTGGAAAGGAATATTAGACATAATTTGCTAGAACTGGATTTCAAGTTGTAGGAGGATTCTTGGCTTGGTGGATTTATGTTTTGCTATGACAGAGTTGTCTCTGGTGTTTGTCTTTGATTAGATCTCATGTCTTAGGCGATTTGTTATTAAGTGCCTGAGTTAAGTATAGGAAGAAATATGGAGGATGATCCCAAGTGTTGAACTGAAAGTATGTTTCTTTTTCTTGAGTAAAATGTACAATACCTCCAGGACATAAGGGATAACATTTATTGTTTGATGCTACATTACTTTTTAAGTAGTATAATAGGTCAATAGCATATAAGGATAACATATGTCTCTTTCCCTTGAGTAATTTTCCTGTCCATGTGGAGGTAAGGCTGCATATATCTAACCCTTCCCAGACCCCGCAATGGCTGCCTAGACTAGCCCTTTTTACAATAGATCAATGTAGTAATACATGTATTGAATTCTTGATCACTTATTACAAGCCACGACTATTGCTAATTCTGAATTTTACTCAGAACCAATGATATCATGAGTGACGAATAACTGAAAAACATGTTGTATCTATGTAGCATGTTTTATCAGAATGATATTTCTATTTTGTTGTATCATTATCTCTCTTCCCAACCCCCGCCCCGCCCCGTTCTACTTCGTAGTTTGGTACAAACAAGTACTTTGTTTTTTTATTCAGTAAAAATCATTCATATTGGTTTTGCTTTTATATTTCTTGGTAATTTCTGAAGCGCGTGATATATCTCATCCATGGCTACATGTAGCCCCGCATAATTAAGATCACGGCATCAATGATAGTTTCCTATATATGTTGGTATTTTCAGGTTTCTTTTTGCTGGACACTCATAATCGATAGCAACCAAGTCATCATGGGAAATCATCAGGAGGAGCTGGACTGGCCACTGTTTGCTTATACATTTTTGAAGAGTATTGCATATTCCGTTGTATTTTTTCTCGTCTTTGCTACTCATACCTGATGGATAAATTGGTTTATTATCCATTGGAAAAGTTTCTTCCCTGGTGAGCTTGCTTTTAGTCTTGTAACTCAAAAGAGTTAGTTAGCGAAAAAGTTTCATTTGTTTGTTTGATGCACTTCATAATTTTTCTGCAGATGGAATTATGGATTTGTTTGCTGGAAATTTAACCATAAATATACAACACCTTGTTAAACTAAGGCGATGGTACTTCTGAACTTTTGTTTATTGTTTTTTCTTGTTCTTCAAGAGTAAAACCTATTTATTTATAGTTCTTTACCATTTATGTATATAGTACATTGTGCATTTTTCGTTCCGAGTATGGACATGTTAAACTAGGGCAAGATAAGCCACACCTATCGGGATTTGGCAGCTTCTATATGCATCTGTCGATCTAGGAAAATGAAAGTATTCATCTTAGAGTGGTGATGTAAACTCCAATTTATAGTGAAGGTTTCTTGTAATCGTCACTAGATATCAATGCCAAAGGTATGAGAATGAGGTAGGATTGCACAACAAAAAAAAAAATAAATAATATAAAAAAAAAAACCACTAATAATAGGAGGATGAGAATGAAGGTGGTAGGATTGCAGTTTGAATTTTTAAGCAATCATTTTGTACAAAATAAAATAATGATAGAAGATTTAATTCTATTAGTTATCATTTTCTTAAAGCACTCTTTCCGTGTGAAAAATACTTGTGAATGAATTACCCGTACAACTAGTTGGTAGGGCTTCAACTCGCTTCTCTTTCAAGCTACACAAAGTGAATTTGCCCTTCCAATTCAACTAAAGAAATCTTTTGAATTGGTAAAGGATTGGTCATTTCAGAATTTATTATTCCAACTTGGCAAATAGTACATTTTAATTTGAAATAGATTTTACAACAGAATGAAAACTTAAAAAGCCTATTACAAGATTTGAGGCCTATAATTATTACGGAGAATTAAGAAGAGGATTCTTGTTTTTATTTAAATTTTTAGTGAGACCGAGGTTCCAGCCCCTTTCGAGAGTGGGAATTATTCTTTTCAAATATTCACAATCGCCTACCTGCAAACCACAGATATAGAGAGAGAGGCTTCACGTCTAAAGCTGTCTGGGCAACAAAAAACATAGAGCAATATCATTATTCCTGCCCACTAAACAAATTGATTAAACAATTCCAAACACATGTAACCAATAAATTAATTCATTTGAATCCCACAAATGTCATCTTATCATTATCCATTGGTTATTTGTGTTTTGCATTGTTTAGCCAGTGAAGTGTTTTACACTTTTTAAAAAAAAAAACTTCCTGTGGTTCAGTTTTCTGTTTAGAACTGAAAATCAAAAAACAAGAATTTTTATTACCCATATTCCCGGGAAATGGAAAGCATAATCTGGTCAAGACCATACCTGTTTCTGTTGGGAAGCTTTAGTTCAATTGAACTCTCAAACACGCTACTAAAAACATATCAAATTACACTAACAATTTGGGTTGTAGAATCTTGGAATAGCAATTCGAAGCTTGAAGTTTACAACACTATGATGTAGAAATGTGTGCACCTGTTTCATTCACAACTATGATTGTAACATGGTTTTCATCTGCAGTTCTCAGACTACACAATTTCAACCACCCAGTAAGGTGGAGGAGCTCACGCAACCCTTGGAACTGGAATGCTTTCTGAAGGTGGTAATGTCACTGACCGTAAGAGCTCCAGTGAGAAAACAAGCCCCAGGAAATGAGAAAGGATGGTGTTTGCCGATGCCTGTAAAAGGAGTGGATGGATGAGAACATAAAGCAATAAAAAAAAAAAATTAGGCCATGTTAAGACCAGTTTTCCCCACTTACCTAGTCTTTAAATTCTTGCTAAAACAGAATTAGGCTAACCTCCAAGAAGCGAGTCTAACTTTTCTAAGCCAAGGAAATGGTTACATTCATATGGTGTGATTTTGATTGACCATTTTAGGGCCTGAGAACTATCTGCTGATTAGAAGTTGTTTCCTGCATTGCTTTTAAAATACACAACACTTGGGGCACATTACAGATGGTCTCTCTAAATACTGAGACTAGTATGCTAGACTGAAATGCCAAGCAAACTTGGATTTTTTTTTCCCCTCTCCGCATGGACTTCTGGGTTTCAGACATGAAGACATGAAAAAAATTGGTTGATCTGTACATTCTCTTTTGTATTTCCCTCTATTCCTGCTCTTTTTTGTGACGAACCTGAAATGCAGCAATCATGCTTTTACCAATAGGCTCTAGCCTATATGGTATAAAGCTCTCCTCCCCCCTATAGAGGTTGAGTGTTTGAGCCCCGATGGGAGCAAAAACACACACACACACACACATATAGTGTGTGTGTGTGTGTGTTTGCTTGAATTTCGGGAAAAGAAAAAAAAAACGTGCTTTTAATTGACACCACGCAGTGCAGAAAATCAGCTGCTTTCAAGAGCTGACCTGATGCTAGAAACTATATATATATATATTTAGATAGGAAAGTCAGGAGATCAGAGGTAAATCTCCCCGTAATTTGGAACCTTGAACTTAAACCAAGTAATAGTTCAGGAAATAATCCTTTTCTTCTTTTGGTTAAATGAGAGTAGAAACACTCTAATCCGAATCAACTCAATGATTTCTACTTCTTAAATCCATAATATGCAGACATTTAGATGGAAAGTTTGAATTAAGTTTAGATAAATACCTGCACTAAGAATACATCCAATGCAAGAACAGGGCTGTACCCAGGTGATACTCCCTGGTAATAAGGATTGGCTGAAGAAGTAAGAGCCTTTGCCACCAACAAGCCTACCGTGGCTTGCATGCCGAGAATAGCAGCACCCATTCCCAAAAGGTTCACTACTATGCCGTTTTTCAAGCTTTTCACCACTTCAGCACGAGGAGGAGCCTGAAAATACAAGCAACCAACATAGTAAGATTGAACATCAAGGTGTCTTATACAATGAAACAATTAAGGACATAACTCATTTTCACTACATGGGGATGAAAAGAAAAAGTGTTGATTGTAAATCAAAGCAAATTTTTAGTAACTTTCCAAGTTCAAGCTTTAAGAATATATTTAGATCTTCAAATCGTGAAATATTTTAGCTGTATTTAAAGAATATCCCATTTGATTGACCAGGAAAATACGAAATATTCTCATGTCTCCAAATCTGCCAGTCACTGGACAGCCGTGGTTAACAATCTGCTGCATATATACATGAGTGTGTTTGTGTGTGTCTAAAAAAAAAAGAAAAAGAAACACTTACAAGGACTTACGATGTCCACAAATTAATATCTGAAAATCGAAAAGGACCATAGAAAGGAATGAAACCTCGAAGCAAACACGACTTAAACTCAGCAAAGCGTCACCTCAGTTATCTCGGATGAACTACATCGATATAGTTTGCCACTATCTAAACCATAGTTTACATGAGCCAAATGCTACCACGTTTTCCTTTAATATCTCAACCCACACTAATTTTAGTATTTCCCTCAACATACCTGCACCTTAATGTAGATTCCTGATTGATGAAATCATCTGGTCTTCATTGAAGCATGTGCTGAAACCATTTTAACCATTTTTCCCACACTTTGACGGCTACTGGTGCCATTTCTAACTTTTTATGAATATGTTCATTTCTTAAGTTTTCTAGTATTACCATACACCCATTTCAATAATTAAGGATATGTTATCTCTTGAAAGTGCAACATTCAACATTCAATCCCCAAAGCACAGTTGGTCCTACAATTGTCAAATAACTTTTCTTTACCCGCCGCGCACCCCCCGGGGGGGGGGGGGGGGGGGGGGGGGGGGGTGTTGTGGGGGGTGTGGTGTGTGTGGAATGTAACTACATCCTCTTAAGTATTTATTTGCTTTAGTCTTATTTTTTATTAGTGCAAACCTGTTTTCGCTTTTTAAAACAAAGGCCACCTAAATTTCAAATATCTGAGAGATTTTACTATATTGATGTCTATCACAATGCCAACCAACCTCCATATTGTGAGGTTGCACTTACAAAATCAAAAATGCAAAAAAACAAGCGTCGCAAAAGGTTTGTCAAATTGTTTCAAGTTAGTGGTAGGGTATTCTCCAAGCAATGCACCACAACAAAGTATTTAGTCTGCAAAGATGGCATAGACAGTCGAATTCTTCATGCCACTCTTCATCACAAGAATGCCCTATTCTAGGTGACAATCTGATTCTTAAGGTTTGGTTCGAGACTACAATTTTGGAACTTACAAGAATTGCTATCAAATATAAGATCGTAGATTTGTGATTTGGCTTCATAAAAATTTGTGCTCTTAAGTAAAGATATATATTCATTTTAACATCAAATTTACTATAGAAAATACAGGGACTGAAAATCACTCTTAATTCCACAAAAATTTACTGATTTCCATACAAGGTATGCATTTGAATTACTAACTATACAAAATTATCAAGCAAAAGTACAAGGAGATAATGAGGAATCCTTCCACAAATGATATAAGTCCCCTAAACAGTAAACACTAGAGATTCTCCAAACAACTCACAAGGAAACACACAAGTGACAAGACCACGAGCCAAGTTTCCAAGATGGACGCTTTTCAGAGTTACTGTTCAGAGTTATGAGAAACTTTTTTCTAAAAGCACTATGCATAATACCCTAAAACCTTAAACCTCCTACAGGAGTGCTTTTTTGTTCTTTCTCATACGTGCTTCCAGGTGTGAGCATCGCTCATGGTATTTCTGCACTATACATCATAGCTGTTAAATCCTATGACTCATCATTTAAACAATATGTTTGAAATACAAAATGCTAGACCAGATCCCATACCATAAGATATTATAACGAATGTGTAAATTAAAAGAGAATCGCATGAATAATGAATTGCGATTTGGTATACAAAGAATTTGTCAATGATTCATGTCGAGTGAGACTCATTGAAAGTAATACTATAAAAAAGAAAATTCAAATAATTTAAAAGGAACTTTAACTCAATTATAAAGTCTTATTATTCTACATTTATATTGAAATTGAACTTAAATATTGGAAACATAGAATATGCAAATTTTATCTAAAACTCCTTTAAGGGAATCTTAAGTCTCCACAAAATATATAGATAAGAAGAAAATGATGAATTTACCTTTGAAGGATCACTGGCAGTTCTTCGAAGCCTGTCAGACAAACGAATATACCCAAATGACCAAAACACTGAAATGAACGCGGCTGCAATTGCACCAGTAGTAGCATAAAATGTCACAGGAGATGTGATCTTCCCAGTAATAACAATAGAAAACGAAAGGATCACAGCAGCCACGATAGTACACACCAGCTGTCCCCAAAATCCTAGACTTCCCAACCTCTTGAAATACCTTGAAGTATTCTCTAATCTCTTTGCAACCTATATCACCATTCAAAAACAATTTTCAACTTCAAACCCACACTATTTACACATTGCATTTTAATTACATTAGAAAATACTGAAAAGAAATCTACCTCCGTGTTTTTTTAATAGACATTACATAACTCAAAAGCATTTCATTCTAGATCCATCTATACAACAGAACAACAAGCCCTAATTAATGGAGAATATAGTATTGTTAGTCAAATTCTACGTTTGTCTATGAATTAGCTCATTCACAACGGTTTAAATAAACATCCTCATTTCAAATGCACATTATCTATACAATCCATTCTAGTAGGAGTACCATTTAGCAAAAGTTCTCACAATTTCCAAATCGATCAAAAATTCAAATATTACATCAAATTTGTACCTAAAAGCTGAAACAACTCAAATGTTCTTCAAAATCCACAATAGGTAATAGTTAATTCGTTCGATTTATGAAATATTGGAGAATTAGAGGCGTAGTGTGTGTGTGTGAGAGAGAGAGAGAGAGAGAGCGAAAGAGAGAAAACCTGAGCGAGTTTGGCCTTTTCGGAGTCGTCATTCGGGGAAGCATAAGCTGTCGAAGTCGGTGCAGCGGCTAGAGGTGGTGTTCGGTTACTGGGGGCAACAGTATGAGGCGACGTTGAAGGGGAGAGAAATTGATGACCTGTTCGAGAAGAGAGAGAAAATGAGGAGAGAGAAGAAGGGAGATTGGGAGTGTGGTTCAAGAGGAGAGTCTGTGGAGGGGGGCGGTGGATGTACGGCCGTGAGGGTTTCGCCGGAAGCGGCAGCCACGGAGATGCGCCGGCGGAGCGAGGCACCGGCGAGAGTAAAGTTTGCATAACTGAGGTTTTGGGCTGCTGCTCGATGTTTTTGCTACTGATACTGACTTGTTATCTATCAAGGTATATTAAATTAAAGAAATATGAAACTGCTATTTTGTCATTTGGGTTTTTTTCTGAATGGTTTGTTTGATTTCTTTTATATTTGGGCCGATTCGGCAAAAAGCCCACGCGAGTTGGGTTTCATGACAAACACCCCACGCGTTACAACTTGAGACATCAACCTTTTATAGGGGAGGTCCGGGATGAAGACGACTTCCTTTTCATTTCTTCCTCTCTTTTTTTCTTTTTTCTTTTTTTTCCTTAAGTTTTTATTTATTTTTCTAATTTTATTTTCTTAGTAAGACTTTACGCAAGTTGTTACTTTAAGGCCTACCTTGGTACGGAGGAATTGAATGGAATAATTTGCCCTATTTTAATAATTTATTTGTTTGGGCATGTATGACATTTAAATTTGTTTGGCATGTATGACATTTAAAGTCAAAATGACCATTTACACGATGGAATAAAATTTTATTTCAAGGAATAAAATTATTAGCCACCGCCACTGCATTCCTTCAGTCACTACCGCCACCACCGCTTTTCATCACATCACAGTTACCACCTTTTTCCACCACTACCACTTAGAATTGTGAATATCATTTTATTAATATATCATTTAATATTTGTAATCAAACAATAAAATGATAATGATCATTTTTATTCTCAACTTCATTCTATTATGCTACGTTTGGTGTGCAGAAATGGAATGGAATACAAGTGTGAATGGAATGAGAATATGAATGGAATGGAATGGTCATTCTCATTCTATTGTTTGGTTGTAAATATGAAATGTGTAGGAATAGAATAATAATAACCATTCTAGTGTTTGGTTGGACCAATTTAAAATTTAGAATGGAATAAATTTCTAATAAAATTCTCCAAAATATTCCTTTCAGTTACAAATAAATTAAATTAACAAAATGATATTCTCTAATAATTTTTAAAAAATAAATGGTGGCATTGGCGGTGGTGGATGGTGGAAAGCGGTAGTAATGCAGGTGGTGGTGTTGGAAGGTCGTAGTAGTGACAATGGTGGAAATTGGTGGCAATAGTGGTGGTGGAAGGTGGCAGTAGTGTTGGTGGAAGGCGGTGGCAGTAGTGTGGTGGTTGTGGTGGAAGGAGAAAGTGGTGTGACTATGGTGGCGGTGGAAGGCAGTGGAAGTGGCGGTAGTGGTGGAAAGTGGTGACGATGGTGGTGGTGGAAGGCAGCGGCGGTGGCTATGGTGAAAGGCAGTGGAAATGGCTGTGGTGGAAGGCAGCGGTGGTAGTGGTGGCGGTGGCTATGGTGGAAGGCAGTGGAAATGGCGGTGATGGTGGTGGTGGAAGGTGGTGACGATGATGGTGGTGGTGGAAGGCGGTGGCGATGGTGGTAGTGGTGGCGGTGGCGGTGGTGGAAGGTGATGATGAAGGTAATAGAAGGCGATGGCGGCGGCGTTGATGGTTGTGGAATGCGGTGGCGGTGGCAGTGGTGGTGGTGGTATTGGCGGTGGTGGAAGATGGCGGTGGTGGTGTAGGGCTATGGCGGCGATAGTGGTGTAGGGCTGTGGCGGCTGTGGTGGTAGTGAAAGGCGGTAGCAGTGGTGGTGGTGGAAAGTAGTGACACCGGTGAAAGGCAATGGCGGCGGCGGTAGTGTAGGGCTATGGCGGCGGTGGTGGTAGTGAAAGGCGGTAGCAGTGGTGGTGGTGGAAAGTAGTGACACTGGTGAAAGGCAATGGCGGCGGTGGTGGTGAAAGGTAATGGCAGTAGTGGTGGTGGAAGGTGGTGGCAGTAGCGGTGGTGAAAGGCGGCGGTGGTGGTTGCTGCAAACAGTGGTGGTAACGGTGGTGAAAGGCAGTGGCGGTGGTGGTGGTGGTGAAAAGTGATGGGCGATGGTGAAAGTCGGTGGTAGTGGAAGGCAGTGGTGGTAGTGGTGGTGGTGAAAGGCGGAGATGATTGTGATGGAAGGTAATAGTGGTTTTTGGACTTGGTATATGAGGGTGTTTTGGGAAGTTGATTTTTCAAAATAAATTACTTGAGAATGGAATGGTCATTCCATAGGTTTAGTTGTGGAATGAATTTTCATTCCTAGGAATGAATTTTTATTCCAATAGAATGGCCATTCCCACTTTAAGTTGCATACCAAACAAAGGAATGGTTTGAATGAGCATTCTATTCAATTATATTCCTACGCACCAAACGTAACATTATTGTTTCATTTCAATTTCGCGTAACAAATGAGGTCTAATGACTAATAATAATATCTCCTTAGACCAAATATAGAACGTTCAATTTTCCCAAAAATATTAAGAAAATTCTTTGCCGAAGGAAAAAGAAAAGGAAAAAAAAAAAAAAAATTTAAAATTTAAATAGGTTAACAATCAAACTCTTCATGTTAAGAAATATATGAAAATTAAAAAATATAATATCCTTTCAACAAGGACTAATTCTTATAACGTGGTAGGTTTTAATAGCTATAAATAATCATAAATATATAAATTCAGTGATTGATTAAATTCAAATAATTATCCCTAATTTAGTAAATTATAAATATATCAATGTTTGCACTGAATAAGCCTTTAACATTCATTTCCTTTAATGCTTTTTTTTTTGTTACAAGAGTTTCAATTTTCATTCACTAATAAATTGATATAGCTATAAAATCATGTTGAGTCATTATATATGTTGGCAATTCATATATTACTTTGTTCTTGGTACTTATTTGGATTGTGATGATCAAATGAATAAACAGACAGGTATATAGAATAAATCATGATGTCGAACTATGTCCATGTCCAAAAGTATATTGTAGTGTGTGTGTGAATATATATATATATATATATAGGAAATGTCCAAAAGTATCTACTAGCCACTAAGCCACATATTTTTTGAAAAATATAACTTTAGTTCATTCATATTTATCCTATATATTTATTTACAAGAAAAGCTCATTACTTAATTTATAGAAGAAACTCATTACTTAGTTTATAAAAATAGCTCATTACTTAATTTATAAGAGAAGTTCCTTATTTAGTTTACAAAAAAAATCCATTTTTAAAGCTATATATATATATATATATATATATATATATATATATATCATGTGAGCTTGTGTATGAGTGATGTACTTAACAAGTTAATAAAAATAAAAATAAAAATAAAAACTTTTTATTTTATTATTTTCTATCTCATTGTTCTTTAATCTTTATTTAATCCTCTCTTTTTGGTATATCTATAAGATGAAGGTTTTTTTTTTTTTTTTTGGGGTAGCACTTGGGGAGGAATAAAGACAATTTTTTCTAATCCAAATCATGTAAAACAGTAAAAGTAAAGCTGATGGCCCACCAATAAAGCAGTCCATGCCTAAATTGATAACTTTATGATTTTTGTACGAAATTATGCGTCCTGAATCTTCTGTCCTACAGGGGAAAAAAAAAATTCCTCTGTCCTACAAGTTTATTTACTGTAACGCGATGTAAGTTTTTAAGACAACATATTTAATGTGTTAAAAATAAATTTAATTATGTTAAATGCACCTACAATACGGCTCAAATTATCCATACTTGCTCATTGACATAATAAAATGATAAAACAATTAAGATACCTCATTGATAAAAATAAGAATGTTTTAAAATAGCATATACTATGTAGTAGGATTAAGTAAATGTTTCAAATAGTACGTAGTTTTAAGTAGGTAATGTATATTATAATATAAAAAGTACAGTATAATTATTTATTGTAAAATGAACAATGTTGATTTGACATGACCAAAACAATACGAATATAAAGAAGAGTGAATTAGCTTGCATGTGACCCCATTATTGTTTATAGCCTTATAGGATTAGGTGTTTTGGGTTTGATGGTAGAGCAGAGAGCGACCAAAACCAATATGGGTCTCACAATTTTAATTTAACAATGGCCCATTCCAAATAGTTAAGAATTGTCGGCTAGTAGCTCTTTTCAGTTTTCAATCTTAGACATACTTTCTTGTGAAGATGGGTGTCGTTTTTCACTTTTTGGTATTAATTTTGCCTCATTTTGCATATTGGTCCTCTGACTTAAGATATTGCCCATACCTACCCTGACTTCTTACCCTTTTTAACAGTGTTTGTTGGAACTTGAAGTGATTTCAGTTAGGAATGGTAAAAAGGAAGTTATTACTTGCACTTTGATCCCTGTTTTGCTCAAATTATGTCATTGAAGGCAGTAGGCACCTTCTCTTCTCATCTTAGAAAAGGCATGAAAGGCCCAAACTTTCTTCTGCACAGGACGATTGAAACAGGAAGCTAGGAAACCTTAATAGACATCTACAGAAAACACAATTATGTTATATTTGGAAACATCAAATTCCTATCTTAGATTTAGAATTGGAGAAAGTTTAGTTTAAAATTTGTACTAAATTTTCTCCAATAATAAATCCAAAGCATTAATTTCGTACCACCAAATATAGCAGAACTGTATTCTAAATTTATTATTATTATTTTATTTTATTCTATTTTTAATTTTTTTTTTTGTGTATAGTGTACATTTTTGTTTTTCTTACGTCCAGGGGATCATTCTATTGGTCTTTAAATTTTCTGGATGAGAAAGACTTAAATCTACTTTTTTTAATAGGGTTGTGAATGAGTCAAGTCATTCATGAATATAAGTTTGACCTGTTGAAAATTTGATCATATTTATTTGTTGAAAAAACAAATTGATTGAGTTTGAGATTGCTTTAAACATGGCAAGTGTAACGGAATTGACTTCTCGCATATGTGACACATTTTATTTTATTTGAAAAGTTTTATTTTTATTTATTGATAAAAGTAATAAAATACAATAAAATATAAAAAGTAGTAGATATTATAAATATGATATTAAAATATAAATTGATTAAAGTGAAAAGAGAGAGAATACGTAAAGATGAGAGGGAGAGTGAACTGCTTTTTATTTACTTCATCTCATTATTGTATACATATCTATATGTATAAATACCCGTAGCCAAGTCGTGGGCAGCAAGGAAAAATAAGCAATGCCACTCAATTGCTTCCATTCTTTGTACCATATTTCAACAGGTGGACCCCACACAAACCAATATATATATATATATATATATAACAGTAGACATTAAAAAGAAAAAAGTTAGGACAATATATGTTGCAAGTAAACCAACTAAAAATCTTTGAATATTTTGATTACGTGTCAGTTGCTGATTGAGAGGGACTTCATGATCCCGAATCGTGTACTTTTTTATTTTTTTATATTTTTTTTCATAAGATTGAAATGAGTAACTAGTGTACTCAAACTAAGCCGAAAAGATATATTTCAAATTTAAATTATCGTATTCAATTCGAAACTGTTTAATTCATTTGTAGCCATAATTTGATCATACACTGAAAAACTTTTAACAAGGTTGGCATGATTTGGGACACATCCTTCATGATTTTAAATTGAAGGTTTTACATGGTTGGCATACATGTCAGTGGTAAGAGTAACAAGAAAATGTTAAAAGATGAGTAAAAATAAAATTTGTAAAGTTTAATACCGCAAACCCTAATTTCACTAATTTTAGCCCATTGTGAAAAATCTGTACTATTATTATTATTAATTTTTTAACCTGGGCTATACCTCAGGTTAGTCTACAGGGAGTTCCGACCTGCTGAGGAGGACCACTGTTGAAGAATCTGCACCGACGAGGCCCCACTGTTGAAGGATCTGTTTCCGTGAGGTAACACTAACAAAAGTCAAGTAGTCAATCGAAAAATAAAATAAAATAAAAATAAAAAAAAGGTGGAATTGGCTCCTCTGCGTATCGTCTGGGTTCCAACTCATTCAATATGTCCTGTAGCAAAACATTAGATTCCTACTCTCCTGTGCAAAACATTAGATTCTAATTTAATGTAGAAAAACAGTATGTCGTTTAACAGAGTATTGAGTCTATTGACAGACTTAGTATAGTCTTTTTTATTCATTTTATATTATTAAATTTTGTACAATCTTAGCTGTTCAAGTTTTACTTGGTTTTATCATGTTTATTTGCTGAAATTTGATATATAGCAAATTTAAGGTTTGGGATTAGAGTATTCTCTGTCTGTGATTAGTTTTCGTTGCTCTTACAGTGAATTACTTGATCTAAGTGAAAAGGCGGTCTTCTTAAACCTTCGGAATTAAAAGGGTTATTGAAAAGCTTGTGCCTTTTTGAACACACTGGTTAACTAGAAAACCAAAAAAAAAAAAAAAAAAAATTTCGTTTTACTCACTCAACAATGTTATTTAGGTCGATTATTCTTTACCTAATAGTTTGATTCAAGGATTCTATTGGTGATATAGTAAATAAATATCAAAGAATGGAAATGTTAGACCTGACAAAATAGGTACGAGTGAAATATTCTATTTAAGAATCATTTTTATATCAATTAGAGGAGCAGAGTAAAAAAAAAAAATCAGGAACTCCCACCAAATCTCCTCCATTTCTACTCTCTATCCAAACCCTCATCGTTTTTGGTCACCAAAACTACCATAGCTGTAGTTGTTTACCCTCTCTTCATCTTTTTCTCTCTCTACATTTTCTCTGTAAAGAAGAACATGTTCTTAAAATGTAGTACAGACACTAGCTAGAGAGGTGCAATAAGTTCAAGAAATCATGAGCTTCACTAGAACTGACTCTCTCCATTTTTTGTGGCCATTTTTGACTCTATTTGTTCTCTTTCTGTCTGGTTCTTCTGCTTTAAACACTGATGGAACACTCTTGCTTTCCTTCAAGTACTCTCTTCTCAGTGACCCAGTGTCAGTTCTGGGTAACTGGGACTACTACGACGACACACCATGTTCATGGACCGGCGTGACATGTGCCGAAATCGGGAATTTATTTGGCACACCAGACATGTTCAGAGTCATCAGCTTAGTCCTCCCCAACTCTCAGCTTCTGGGTTCGATCCCAGAGGACTTGGGTATGATCCAACACCTCCGAACTCTCGATCTCTCCAATAATTTCTTGAACGGTACTCTACCCGCTTCGCTCTTCAACGCCTCAGACCTTCAAGTACTTTCTCTCTCTAACAACATGATCTACGGCGAGCTTCCGGAGCTCACCGGAGGCCTAGGTCTGCAGTTCATCAATCTTTCTAGTAATGCTCTGGCCGGGAAGGTCCCGAAAAATCTGACCTCTTTGAAGAATCTCACTGTTGTTTCTTTGAGAAGTAACTATTTTTCCGGTTACATTCCCAGAGGATTTGATTTCGCTGAAGTGTTAGATCTGTCTTCCAATATGTTTAATGGGTCATTGGCTGTTGATTTCGGTGGGCAGAGTTTGAGATATTTGAATTTATCTTACAACAAGCTTTCCGGTTCAATCTCACCGCAATCGGTGAAGAATATTCCGGCGAACGCTACAGTTGATCTCTCGTTCAACAATCTCACTGGTGAAATCCCACAATCCATGGCCTTAGGTAATCAGAAAGCAGAGTTCTTCGCCGGAAACACAGATCTCTGCGGCAAACCACTCAAGAAGCTTTGTATAATCCCTTCAACGCTCTCAACTCCGCCTAATGTCACAACAAACAACACTTCTCCGGCAATTGCGGTCATACCCAGAACAGTTGACTCCACTCCGGTAACAAATTCACCAAATGGGTCTCCGAATTCTCCGAATCAACAACAGAGGGGGCTAAATCCAGGGACAATTGCTGGGATTGCAGTTGGGGATTTAGCAGGAATTGGCATTCTCGCTATGATATTCCTTTATGTGTATCAATTGAAGAAGAAGAAAAAGAGAAATGAAACAGAAAAATCAGTCAGTACAGTCAATACAGCGAAGAAAGAAGAAAAGGGTAGCAGAGAAGACCCTTCAATGACGAAGGATTCCAAAGCTCTCGTGACCTGGCCGTGTCTGAGAATCACAAACGGTGAAGAGACGTCGGAGGCAAATACTGGGTCTGATAGTGATGATAATAAGGGCAATAACTGTAATGACTTTGTGGTTATTGATTGTGAGAGAGAGGAAGAGAAGGGTAAAAGAGACAAATCTCTTGTGATGGTCGATGGAGAGACTGAGCTTGAACTCGAGACTCTATTGAAGGCTTCGGCGTACATTCTGGGATCGAATGGGCCGAGCATAGTGTACAAGGCAGTGCTGGAGAACGGGACGACGGCGTTTGCGGTTCGGAGGATCGGAAAGAGTGGCGGCGAGAGGCTGAGGGAGTTCGAGAACAGAGTGAGGGGCATTGCTAAGTTGCGCCACCCAAATCTGGTGCGCATTCGAGGGTTTTACTGGGGAGAAGACGAGAAGCTTGTCATCTATGACTACGTCTCCAATGGCAGCCTCGCCAGTGCTGGTTACAGTAAGCTCTCTCCCACTCTATCTGCGCACGTTAGCGTATTTCTGCAATTTTTTTCCCCATTAAAATACGCCCATTCTTTTGCAATTTAGGTTTTCTTTTCCCTATTATAAATGAACCGGATTATTTTTGAACGGTTAAGCCTCAGTTTGATAAAATTTGTTTTTGAACTTATTTATAAAAATTTGATTAATAAACAAATCCAACTCAAATAAGTCATTGGTCCTTAAGGTCACGAACATTACTCTTAACAGAGATTATATAGATTTATAACTAATTTTCTACTTCGATGAAACTTTTTGTGTTTTGGTCTGATCAAAATTCCCTCTAATAACAAAATTTCATCCATTTCACACCATCACAACAAGGAAAGTAATTTATTATTTATGGTGATGAACTTTACGGGATGGTTGGATTTACTTACGCAAATGACTCAAAGGTCGAGTTTAAAATTAGCTTGCGAGCGAAATGAACCGAATCAAGCCGAATTCAAAAACTCTTATAGAGGTTTTACATGATTAATTAGGTCGAGCTTGAACAACTGACTGCTCAGCTCGGCTCCACTCCTATTATAGGCATACAGCTGGTTGATGCTTTTGCCAAAATTGGCAGGTCCTGTAAGGACACTTGCAGATCTTGTGAAAATATGATTCTTGCGGACTAAAAAACATTGTACCTGATGGTAACTTTCATTGAATGGCCAACAATTAACTACTCTCACCTTCCATTCATTGTTCTAGTTGATGAGATTATGATTAATCTGGTTAGGTTTGTCTCTAATTATGTTGTTTTTTAGTCAGGCTGGGATTTTGTTATTCGGGCTTGCTCCTTTCAGTTTGTTCTCTTAAAAAAATATGGAGTATATAAATCATCCGAAAACGTGATTAAATGAAAGATGTAATTTGAAAATATTATTAATTTTTATGTTCCTCTTAATCTCTTTAAAATTATAGACCAACTATGACCCTATTGCATGACTTTTGTTGTTTTATTGCATGTTTATATATCATATATGTATATTTTCTTTCAAATCGTGCGTATATTAGCATTTTCTATGCTTTTCCCTCACATAATCACATTATATATTTACTCCTCTCTAATTTCAGAAAAGATGGGCTCATCTCCATGTCATCTACCCTTAGAGGTCCGGCTCAAGATAGCAAGAGGAGTTGCTCGAGGGCTAACCTACATCCACGAGAAGAAACATGCGCATGGCAACGTCAAACCTAGCAACATCCTCCTAACTCCCGATATGGAGCCCATAATTAGTGACCTCGGGCTCGACCGGCTGGTTTTGGGTGACAAAAAGAACAACAAATTAGGTGACGGTTCAACCCGGCATTTTGGTAGCAAACGGTCCATAGACTCCACACCACCCTCACAAGACCACCTCCGGACCGGCAGCGCCACCAGCCCGTACACCAGCCCGTACACCGTGACCGCGGGTTATGTGGGTTGCACTTCTCCTTACCACGCACCGGAGTCACTCAAAAACCTCAAGCCCAACCCCAAGTGGGATGTGTACTCATTTGGGATTGTCCTGCTTGAGCTTCTAACCGGGAGAGTGTTCTCGGACCGGGAATTGGGCCAGTGGACCGCCGGTTCGGCTGTGGATGACAGGAACCGGGTTCTGAGAATGGCTGACGTGGCAATTAGAGGTGATGTGGAGGGCAGGAGTGATGCCATGTTGGCATGCTTTAAATTAGGGTTTAGCTGTGCTTCATTGGTCCCACAAAAGAGACCTTCAATGAAGGAAGCACTTCAGGTTCTTGAAAAGATTCCATGTTCTTCACGGCAATGATGGATGATGGGCCCCATATAAAAGGGACCACCAGATTTTAAGGATTTTCTTTGGTCCTTTTTGACTTAAGAATATTGCGTTAAAGAAGGGATGGAATGTTGTTGATAGGTAATGTGAATGTATTGTATGTTTGACTAATTAATCAATCAGTCCGCTACTTTTTATGTGATACTTTTGTTGGTTGGGGGAGCTTTTCTTTTTTCTTACTACTAAGGTATAGGATCGCATTTCGATTCCATAAGTCAGATCTTGATTGAGTATGTAATTCAATAATCTGATCCGAATTCGATAACTTATTATGAATTATTAAGGTTAATTCCATCCGATTAAAATATAATATTATAATCTATAAATTTTCATTTATAATATATAAATGATGTAAGATATACATCTATTTTAAAATAGAGAGAGTAGCATATTATATATATATATATATGATGTGTGTGTGCACATATATAGATTAAAGAAAGAGAGTAGCATATTATGTATATCAGTAAGGTTCTCGTACGGTCCAAAAGAACGAATTTTTCAGTAAATCAATAGTCAGATAGTCAATTACACGTTATTACTTTATCAGACCTAACCATAATTAATATTTATTACCTTAATAGTCAATTTATCATAGTTACCTTAATAGTCAATTTACCATAATTTTCACGCATTACAATTTCTTTTAAATTTTATGCATAAATACAATTAAATATCTTAATATTTATTATCCTGATTGTTGGAGCTGCTAGCTTGAGTCGGCTTGTTCAAAATAAAGGCTGAGAGTTGGGACATATTTTCATGCAAGTCGTTGTAGCGTGCTCCCATCCTTCCCATTGCATCTACCAAGGAGCTAACCTGTGCCTGAAGTACGGCTAACTCATCAGTAGAACCTGCTGCAGAGTTCTCAGCCTGTATTAGCTGATCGCCTTCCTCCAAATCTTCATCAATAGCCACGGCCTTAGAATTTTTTGTGGGCCGCGGCATATTTGCCTCTTTTATAACACTCTAGTAGTGGTCCCACCGGGCGTGCGAAAACGTGTTCGCGCGGTTTTTGTTCCCTACGCCGGTCGATGGACTCTTCGCGGGCGTGCCAGAGTATTTGTACAAAATACCCAAATATGTAATTGAACACCAGCCTTTCCCTTTTTCTGATGGCTGACTCTCAGGCGATTGTGTGGGAGAGAAACTAGTAAGAACTCCCAACAAGGTTCTTTTATGCCTTGTTTGTAGCAATGACTTTTTAGAGTGTCTAAAGAAATGCAACGGCTGATGAATGTTTGAATGGATGGAATGGCCGAGTGAAGACAGGCGGCAAGAACTTAATCGATCGCCGGCCGAACGTGATGGCGAGAACTTAATCAATCGTCATCAGCCAAACACAATGGCAAGAATTTAATCGATCGCCACTGAAACGTGATAGCAAGAATTTAATCAATTGCTATCAGCCAAGTAATGACAAGAATTTAATCAATTGTCACTACGATTCAATGGCAAGAATTTAATCAATTGCCATTGAATTGAAAGCCTAACTAAAATTGCGTAATTAAAATTGGCATAATTGAAATTGAAAGAAAGTAAATGGCTGAATCGAAATAGTTGACGAGGATCTAATCAATTGCCATTAAATTGAAATAAAGAAATTGATAGGAAAATGACGTAGAGTCAATTGAAAACATTTTAGATGAAATGCATGTTTTGTGGTGGTGCTGGACGAATTGGAAATGGAATACAATACTTCTATTTATAGAAGTTCTATCTCAACTTATTTTCCTAATTAATTGCTAGAAAATCTCTTTGCTCCTTGGTTTTCTTCACTTTATTACTCAAACTAAACCACGTTCCAGTAGTCTTTTGCGTCTCTTCTCTTCTTGTTTCAATAGGAAAGTCCTTGCTGAAATCTTTCCTTGATCCAGTCAAATGCAAGTTATCGAATTGTTGCTGAAAAGTTGCTAAAGAAGTTGCTGGAAAGTTGCTAATTTTTAGCAACTTCTTTCCTTATACTTGGTCACCGTTTCTTCCCTTAAATTGCCCAAAAGCCATTTATCGCTTTTATATTCATGACGCGGCTGCCTTTTGTATTTTTCCTTGTTCCATCCAACTAGAATTCCTATAAAATAGGAATTCAGTTGTCTGATTTCCTTAAAACTTTAGTCTTTCCTTTCCTGATGATAACCCAACTTGAATAAAGTCAAATATTTGTTGCTATATTTTAGCAACTGCCTTGTTAATGAAGTGGCTGAATAACTTTCTCCAATACTTGCTCCTGATATTTCTTAACTGGCTGATTCCCTTGACGCCATGTTAAAAATACTTATCAGCTTTTCATTGGTCCACATCATCGCTGAGATGGCTGCCAAGTTTTGGTGCCAACACTTTGTTGCTGAAAATAGGTCGTACTCCAGTAGTTTTTCACGTCTCTTCTCCTCTTGTTTCGTCTTGCTTCAAATAGAATACCTTTGTTGAAGAAAATATTGATTGCTAAGAAGTCGGTAGAAAGCTGCTGGAAGATTGCTAGTAAGTTGCTGATTTTTAACAACTTCTTTCTTCAAGCTTGACTAAAATATTTCCCTTAAATGGCTGGAAGACCATTTATAGCCTTGACCCATACACTCACGTGGCTGCCCCTTCCTTTTGAATTTCATTTCCATAAGGATTCAATTTCCTTTCTCATAACTAAATCCCTATTTTATAGGAACTTAATTATGTCACCTTAGCCAACTTCTCCCAATGTTCTATTTCTAATGAAATTTCCTTTTGAAATTAACACAAGTCTCGGTTGTTTAGTAACAACCCTTTTGGTGAGGTGGCTGAATATATAGATATCTTCCTAAATCTTCTCCTACTATTTCTCCATTGGCCGACCATTCTTGGACATGCTTAACACTTATCGGCTTCCCATTGGTCCACGTCGCTGCTGAAGTGGCTGCCAAGTTTTGGTGCCAACAGAGTGTAAATAAGTTTCTGGTCCATAAGGATTGTTGGTTTTATTTTATTTTTCTTAAATTTAAGAATTGAATTGACTTGTTAATGATGGGATGAAAGGATTTGATATGTGTATGTGTTTCTTTAATTATTGAAGAAAAAAGATAAAGATGTGGCCAGCAATTCCTAAGCCTGAGAAGCAAGAATACCTGGAGGGAATTGCAATTCCTAAGCCTGAGAAGCAAGATTTGCCGGAGGGATTTGCAATGGACTTTGAAAGGGGTTGTAATATTATTGGTGGAGATAGTCTCAAGCAAGAATACCCGGAGGGAATTGCAATTCTTAAGCCTGAGAAGCAAGAGTTGCCGGAGGGATTTGTAATTGACTTTGAGAGGGGTTGTAATATTATTGGTGGAGATAGTCTCAAGCAAGAATACCCGGAGGGAATTGCAATTCCTAAACCTGAGAAGCAAGAAAGTTTCCATAGGAGACTCCACCGAGTGAAACAAGGTCTCAAGATAGAAAAATACCCGGACGGAATTGCAATTCCTAAGCCTGAGAAGCAAGAAAGTTTCCATAGGAGACTCCACCGAGTGAAACAAGGTCTCAAGAGAGAAAGGGCGAATTTAAAGAAGAATTTAACGGCGGTTGCTACTTTTAGACAGTTGTTATCGAGTCTTCTTGACTCAACGGACTACGACCACTTATGCACCTACTAGACAGAAGTTATCGAGTCTTCTCGACACAATGGACTACACCGAATCATTGCGTGGGATGGTACTGGGCACAAGTGAGAGTGGAGCGAGAAGGACTGCCGAGCACAAGTGAGTGGAGGGAGAAGGATGGGAATTAAGAATGATGCTTAGGTTGGTTAATTGGCTCATTCATTCCCCTTGCAAAAATGTTTCTTTCAGTATTATATAAGAGAAGTGTTGTGATTAAACAAACATGCCATTTGTTAAAGTTTTTAAATTTAATGAGAAAGAAGCTTGTCCTAAATTCTTTATATTGAAATTTAACTCTTGATTTTTAATTGTTTTCAATGTTACTGAGTAGTCCATTTGTAAAAATACTACTACAATGGTGAATGGACTTCAATGTCATGGTCCCGCTTTTATCAAAGAAAACAAAGAGCTTTGTTTTGGTTGGGAGTGATATAACATGATTAAAAATATATATATATATTAAATTAATAAAAAAAAAATATTAAACACAATTTTCAAGTTCTGAACATGATATTTTCCCAGGGAAAAACAATAATACATCCATGAAAAATTGCCAAAATAATGGGTTTCAGTGTTTTTCTTTTTTCTCCTTTTATTTCGGCGGAGGGAGAACTCGACACACCAGCTCAGGGTGTTTGCTATTGTAAATAGTAAAAACATAGGCACTGATTTTTTTTTTATTTCCTGCCTTTCTATTAGGGAAAATTTTAAAAAATTTACTTAATTATGCATATTTTCAAATATGCCAACTTTTTCAAACTTTAGGTTTGACTACTAATTTTATTAAACTAATTATAATAGTATACAAAAACACTACTTAGACTCTACAATGATCCAAAATGCCATTATCTTGTCCAAAATACTCAACGTCCACCAAATTCCTAAACTCCATTTTTTCCGGCTATGAGGGACAAAACGGAGCAACTCAGATCAAACAAAAACTGTAGTCGGAAATAGTACCCATATATACATACACGTGTGTGTGTGTGTGTGTGTGTGTGTGTGTATATTGATGATCAATACATAACATATTTATGAATCATGAATAATTGTAAAATAACAAGAAATAAATTAATCAGTAGAAATAAAATTCCCAAAATTTAGTATGATTCACGTACTTTTCTTTCTTGCATAAATTATGGTGGTGGACACTTTAGTGCATCCTTTCCTTCATTCTTTACAAATTTTCATCCCTCAAAAAATGAAGATGGACGGGAGCGACGAGATGAGAGAAGAAAATTTAACTATTATAAAAGTTTAAATTAAATACTATTTTAAATTTCACGAATTTTAAATTATAGTACCACCTCTATACAATATAGTACTGTCATTCTATTAATTACAATATTATAAATATTCTCAAGCTCAATAATATTAAATTAATTAATTAAACGCAATAATTTTATAGATTTTCAAAAACTCCAAAAACCTGTTCAGCTTTTCCCATACATAACTAAAATTTCATGATGTGGGTGAATCTAAAGGAGTAGAAACAATGTAGGAAGAACCATTCTATGGAAACAAATTTTTG